GAGACGAAGACCTTGCAGACATTCACAAACATGTCCTCGCAAGTTGTTATGCGTCAGTGAGAGATTTTGAGCGCCGTTTTTCGAACACAATCAAGGACCGAAGTTTCAGGCCAGGCGAGCTCGTATTGGTTTTAAACAAAAAGATTGAGCCTTCATCAAACGCGAAGTGCAAACCACGTTATTTCGGTCCTATGGTTGTCATCTCGCGCAACACAAATGGTGCCTATTATCTTGCTGAAATTGATGGAGCCGTTTCGAAGCTCAAATTTGCCGCATTTAGACTCATTCCGTACCATGCATGCTCACCAACGACGCTCGAGGTCACGCAGCTTATCAAAATGGACGGAGATTCAGTCGCAGGAGGAATGGAGTCATCAGGTGTTTAATTCGTTGAAGGATCAACCGAGGACGGTTGATATCTGTAGTTGGGGGGAGATGTAAGGATGACCAATCGTTTGTCGCCAGAAATAGCCGAATCAATGCTCATTGCTACCACCACCTCACATCACCGGTGCTCACCACCACCAAGTCCTTGTCAGCCGTTATAGCACTAAAGCTCTCGTTCGTGTCTCTCTGTTTGTCCCCGTCGCTCTGCTCACAACCGAGCCATCTAAAAACTGTCAAAACCTATGCATGCTCTCGTTATCCTGTCAAGCCATACCCATTCAAACCTCCGCTCGCTCATTTTTGTACTCTTTCGTGTTATATCTACCCTACCTTCTCGGACGTGACAATTCTCTCTTCGGACTCCGTTTTTCGCATTTAATTTCGGCCTAGCCATCAATAAGGACCCTTACTATTCTAACAGTATAAGTAGCCCATGTACAGTCCATACTGAGAGGCAATCAGATCTAGTCACGCAGTCTCACTCTCACACTCCTTGATATATCTATAACTCTCGTCTAAACGTCTCAAAATCATCACATTCCCTTTATCTAAAATGTTCACTAATAACTATCTAACTCTTTAGCGCTCGTACATCCTCCAGCGGTCTCCCCACCCCTTCACACTCGCAAGTCCAACCCCGACTTACATCTGCCAGTGCAAAGGTGAGGTTCCTCTCCACCGATACACAGTGTTTCCCTGGCCAGTACACCCTATAACCCTTGCTTTCAGCATCTACCCCCACAAAGATTGCCTCCTCCGCCTTTGGCTCCAACTTCCCAGTATCCAGCACGTGGACGAAGACTTTCGCCCCAAACTCATGGGCCCGTGACAAGTCCAGCTTGGACTTCTGTACGAGCTCGTATGGCGTTGTGCTGGGGGTGGACTTTGACGGTAAGCAGTTTTTTAACCAAGTCACATAGTTGACCGCCTCTGCCCACAGGTACTTAGGGAGATCTCTCCCTATCAGCATGGCCCTAGCGTGCTCAACGAGGGTCCAGTTCAGGTGTTTGGCCACGCCATTCTGCTGAGGTGAGTCATGGACGGTTAACTGACGTTCAATACCCTGCTGACGGAGGTACAGGTCGAACTTGGCGCTGAGATATTCTCCCCCTCTGTCCAAATGGACCTTGTGCAGCCAAACTCCCGGCATCTGACGCGCCAACCAGGCTTCATAGGCCTTAAACGCTGTAAGTGCCTTGCTCTTCAATTTGAGGAACTGAACTTTGGTCTGCCGGCTGTAGTCGTCCGTGAACGTGACGTAGTACAGGCACCCGGCGATGCTTGCTGTTTGGGCAGGGCCCCATAGATCAGTGTGCACGAGCTCACCGTAGGTAAGTGCATGGCTTGTGCTTTCCTCTGGGAAAGGCTTCCTCGTTGACTTAGCTTGCACACAGGCTTCGCAAAATTCGGCTTTCGATGCCTCATCCAGTTCCAGGCCGGTGACTAGGCCCTTCCGGATCGCATCAGCGGCTGCAGTCTGGGACATGTGGCCCAGTACTTTGTGGGCACTGCTGACGGTAAGCTTCCCTTTTGCGACATTGGCATGATGCTGATGTTGTTGTCCTCCTGCAACACTATACAGGCCTTCAACCTGGGGGATCTCCGCAATGACTTTCCGGTCTGGCCCTTTCGACAGGAGCTTGCACATCCTGCCCTCAAACAGCATGGCTAGGCCAGCCGCTGCGATACGATTCGTGGAAATTAGCGTAAAGGCCATTTTTGGTGTGTAGAGTGCGTTTTTCAATGTGACCTTTGTGCGTTTCTCACTGAGCGGTAGCTCCAGGTGCACATCTCCACGGCCAATCACACTCAAGCTCAAACCGTCGGCTGTGCGAACGTCTTGGGGAGGGATGCTCATGAACTTCGTGAACTTCGCCCTATCAGGGCAAAAGTGAGAGGTCGTGCCTGAATCTATGATTGCGCCTTGTTTCTCGACAGGTACATTCAGCTCGCCTGCCACGCTCGCCAAGTCTGACGTAACAAAGGTGTACTGGTCGTCATGGGGTTCTGGCTGTGTGGCCGAGTTAGCAGCCTGCTTGGGCGCTTTCTCAGCCTTCCTTTTCTGCTGGTTAGAGCCTTGCCCTTCCTTACCACCCCCCGGACGCCAGCAGTCCGTTTTATAGTGGCCCTTCCTGTCGCAATTGAAACAGGTGACCTCCGGATTCATTTTGGGGGTGCCGGCTGACGCTCTGCCCTTCCCCTTAGCTTCTCTAGCAGATAGGGCGGAGCCAGAAGCTCCCTTTTTGGTGGGACAACATTCGGTGAGTAGGCGATGCTCGTACTCTTCAGTGATGATGCTGATTAACTCATAGGAGGTGAGGGGACTTTTAGTTATCCTAGCTGCTGTGCTGATGGACAATAGGAGGGGCCAGTACGACTCCGGGAGCGAGCCTAGAATAATGGTGTGGAAGTTGTTGTTGACGATAGCCACACCCATTCCTGCCAGCGACTCGCGGAGCCTTATGAGCTCTGCAAAGTGGGCCTTGATATCGCCTCCTTCATCACAGCGTGTCTCTTGCAACCGACACCGTAAGTCTATTTGCACGAGTTCAGTCTTACCCTCGTGAATCTGACAAATTTTGTTCCAGATCTCGGATGCCTCCCCAAGCTTCTGGATGCGCAGTAGCAGCTGATCGGTGATCGTGCTGAATATCGGCTGCATTACAAGTGAGTTTTTCTGGTGGTACTCATCAATTTTCTTATCAAGCTCGTCTATTTCAGTCTGCGTCTGCGTCGAACCGTCAGGCTTCTTTACAGCCTTGGTGTTCAGATCAATGACGAAGGAAATAGGTTCGCAGATGCATCCATCGGTATATCACATCAAACCTCGGGCTCCAATAGCTGTTAGCATTTGTTCTTTGTAAGTAATCCAATTCAAGCCGTCTTCTGTGAGCTTCAGGATATTGAACAGGCTGGAGTTTGTACCAGGGAGCGTAGATTCCATGATGTGTGGAGATAATAGACGAGCGGGAGCTTCAGGACACGCTAGACAAAGGTACGAGTCTCAGTGTTCGTTATACGAATCTCCATTAACAAATGTTTGTACCTAGACAAAGGTACAACTACTTGTACGTTAGTATTTGTACTCAAATGTTACAGGAACTTTTACTCACGTCTCAGTGTTCATTATACGAATCTGAGATGTTTCGACAATGGCAGCATCCTCTTATACGGTGAGTCTGCCAGCAAGAGTTTTGATGAAAAATATATACTTAAAGAGTGAAAAGATTGCCGACGTTGACACATCGTCGATGTTCTCCGTTTGGTGGTGCTTGCACCTCGAGCTGCTTCATCCTTCGGCCATACTCCCATTCTCCCCTTCAGCTCTTCCTTTCTCGGTCTTTCCATCTTCGGCTTCATCGGCTCTCAACATGATGGAGGCAGGGCTCATAACCTAAAGGTGTTTATGATGAGCAAGAGGGTCACGAGGAGTCTAGAACGACAAAGACAAGATCTCAGTTGTCTCGAATGAAAACTCCAATTAAACGGTGCATCTACCCAGAACGACAAAGACAAGCTATAGCTAATGTTAGACGCGTTGCAAACTCTAGGGACTTTTTGGCACATACATCTCAGTTGTCTCAAACGAAAACTGAGATGCACTTGTGGTACTGCTGCTAATCTTATAGTAAGTTGGTCAGGTACTGGAATATATGAATGAGAGACTGAAAAATAAACTAGGACACGAGCCGACGTCATACGTCGCTCGTCTTCATCTGTTTTGGCGCGCGCTCGAACCATTCTCCCCTTATCACTCGGATCCTTCGGACTCTCTCGACTCTGATCTCCCCCTGGCCTCGGATCTCTCGGTCTCATACTCCAACAACTTGTGTCCCTGGCACAACCAGAGATGGACCCGGTTGCATTTCTGCCTGGCATCCTTGAGATGCTTGTGTCCCTGACACAGCCTGAGGTTGACCTGCTTGCGTTGAACTTCCAGCCTCATTGCCATTCGCACATTGAGCAGCACATCAGGAAAACCCTCCCAGGGCAAAATTACATAAATTTGCTAAATTTTACATAACATTGTGAATTCACATAATTACATTAAGAATGATAATGTTAGATAATGTCAGATGGATTATTTGAACAAGAACAAATTATTAGCGAGAATTATCTGAATTTTGAAAAAGTATGTCTATCTACAATCTATCTATCTATGTATCACTAGCCACTGTGTCACCACCGCACAGTAACCTTGAGAGTTTATCAAGTCCGCTATTTCACGCAGGAGCAGTCAGGAACAGTGTAAGTAAACCATTCAAATGATATGCAGGAAAAGCTGAGACCAGAACGTTGAAATTTCGTTGAAGTTCGTCATTTGCACATATTTGTTTCGTTCATGTGACTGTTTGGTTGATATTGAAATCGAACCATTTACTTGTATTTGTTTGACTCACATGACTTTGGTTTGAAAACCTTTGAATTTTTGAACTTCCGACATTGATCCCTCATTATGATTCCTCAACGTTGTCAGCCTCAACCATCAAGCTGATAGGTACGTCTTAGATATATAAAAAAGTTTTGTTTAACAGTTCATAGTCATCCTTTCATGCTTGTCGTTGCCCACTGTTCACAGACTGAGTGTGCCGATTCTGCTTTGAGGTCGAGCCATGCTGATCGAAGCTGTCAGGGCCTGTCGTTCATGCTCACTGTTTGCAATTCGTGAGTCTGTCTATCCTCATTCGAGCAACAGCCACACTGATCCAAGGTGTTGCCCACCGTTCGCAGGCAGTGAGTGTGCCGATCCTCATTCAAGCAACAGCCACACTAATCCAAGGTGTTGCCCCTTCGCAGGATGTAGGTTTGTTGATCCTCGTTCGAGCAAGGGTCACGCTGATCCAAATTGTTGCCCACCGTTCACAGGAAGTGAGTGTGTCGGTCCTCATTCAAGCAAGGGCTACTGATCCAAGTCGTTCCCACCGTTCGCAGGATGTAAGTCTGTTGATCCTCATTCAATACCCAGGATATTCTAATTGACCTTAAACCAGGCTGAACTCCTCATATTGTTGATATCTAACCAGCTCTTTCATAGCTCAAGGGCCATTGGTGTGAAATTCACGTCACACTTTGTCGAAATCTCCAAGAACAAGTCAAAGTGTCCCGAAATTCTGTTGGCTTGCAGTAAGTTGAAATGGAATGGCGCTACTGGGGATCACATCGAGCTGAACGCCTTCGAACTGCTTGACCTTGAGGGTATGGAGGAAGACTAGTGATGGGAATCTGCTCTTTTGGTGTACCTATGCGATTCAAAGATTGTCGAGACTCCGAGTCGTGGTGTTGATTGATACATATCTCTATTCCAGTCATTACTAGCTATTACATACCCTTTTCTAATCAAAAACTAATTTGTTCATGTAATGCTGTCTGATGGTGGGGAAATTGGTGAACACTGTTTGCCGAAATTTGAATGGATGGTCTCTCAAATGCTCGACAAATTAGTCAAATAACTAATAATTAGAAACATTTCTGTCAAAGTTTCTTGGGGTAACATAATCTATGCGATCCTTGAAATCAGTCGCTTTTTGAGTAATTTGTCAATAATTGTCGATAATCACTGATATTTAGCCCAGGAGGGTTTTGCTGATGCAGTTGCTGCTGCTGCCGCTTCTGCATGGGCTAATTCTGCTGCGCTGGGAGGGGAAACATAAATTCTCTGCAAATGTATTAATTTCCATGATATCAACAAGGAGCGATGGAAGCTACCCACATTTTTTTGCGACCGGCAGCTACTTCAACCATCACGGAATTGGTGGATGATGTTTTTCCTAGATAGATTTGGTAAGATCGTATCAAATTTCCACAGGATTATCTATCGAAGATAGGAATGTATAAATGGCTACCAAATTCTTATCACAGTGATGGAAAGGCTAGCTAATAGGTTGCATTTGCTTCCTCTTCGGGAGTAGGAACTGACTTGGAGTCCACGTCAAGTGCTGCTGAGCGACGTTCAGTCAAAATATGTTCGGCCATCTCCTGGAGTCGATTCTTCTTCCGTTTTGCAATTACAATAGTGCATGCATGCGCATAGGTAGCACAGTTTAGCCAATTAACAATTCGTTTTGATGCACCAGGGATGCGATGGTAGACCCAGTTCGCAATCTGAGCACAGTCTGTAAGAGACAGATCACCACAATATGGCACAGTAGTCTGCTTGCGACCCGTTTTCTCTGATAGGTCGGCAAGATACCCAAGCGCTGGGACTGCGTTGCGCATCTTCGCAGGAGCAGGTTGCTCCAAAATGGCTGTGCCGCATAGTGTGTTGTGTCTGACTCGGAGGTCTGTATATAACAGATTGTAACTAGCAGGTGCCTGTCGAGAGTGACAGGTTATTGTAAAGTGGGTGCTCTAGAATCTATATAGTCTGAATGACATCGTCTCGTACTATATTACTAGGACTCACTGCTGCCGCGCCCACTACCGCATCCGTGCCGCAACACGCCCAACACGTCCTCTAAATTCAACCTCTCAAAGGCATGTCCGAGAGGCGCATAGTTGATGAATTCGACGAGTAATGCTGCTAGGTCAATTAGCTTGTGTATGGTTAGAGTAGTTGTCGGAAATGAGCGTTGAATGTTGGTTTCAGTGAGATGCGGCAGTGATGCGTTAGTGGTGCGGCAAGTTGCGGCAGTGATGCGGCAAAATCCCTGAGCCCCTTTGAATTGGGCTTCTAGACGTCTCCAAAAATCTTCGAGAACTGTCGACCAAAAAGTGACTTTCGGAAGTGAACTTGGCCATGAAAGAAAACAGGCACCGAGTACACAAATACTGCAGCACCCAATAGTATCAATAGCATCCCAGGGATTGCGAGTGTAACTATTATGGAATTAGTGGTGTGTTCAGTGCCATTGTCGCGGAACTTACCTGTCAAAGTTTCCATATTTGGACCAATGTGGCAAAGTATGCCACCCCAAGCTATTGTGAAAGAACAGCACAGGATGTCGAACATGGCTCCTGACTGCATAAACCTTCTGGTACTGCGACCTCTGGTAAAGGCCACAGTAAGGGCCCATGAAAAGGCCATACAACCTGCGAGTGCCTCTGTGATAAAGCGAGGGACGATGTTCCGAATCGAATAGATGGTGACAGACTCGACTATCAGGAATAGAAGTATTAGACTCTTGACGAAGGTAGCTGTACTGTAGTATTTGGGCATGATGAAGGATTAAGTGAGGATTAAAATTGTGGTGGGTCAACGGTAGGTTAGGTAAATGACGATACTTATGATGTCATGTGTGGATGACATACTATTCATTTGTCATCCTGGACCGCATCTCAAGACCCTTATGCACCTATGCTACCTTCTCATTATGCGGACACTAACATGTAAGAAATCGTTTCCTCTTTGTCGCTATGCCACATTCGTGTCTGCACATGCACCACACCATGATCGGCATACTCTGGCATATTATCGTAGTCTCCCCCAACATTTGTGTCTGCCCAAAGTCCCATACGAGCACTTTGTCGTCCATTGTGCTACGCAACGCGTGTGGAGGATATCTCTCGTCGACATGCAGTCGTGGTCAGAAAGGCAGCTTATTTGCATCTACATATGATCTTCCCCGATCCAAGGCGCGTTGAACTAATATTGTCTTTCTGCGTGAGTATTTGATGATAATAAATTACAGTTCAATTCCCGATGTCCTTCGATACCTTTTTTACCTGAAAAGCCTTCCACCTGCAGACACACTCTTCAATTCACGCCATCTGAACTCGAGGCTTTCCGAGGAACTAACATCTACGGCGCTACCCATGATCGTCAGGAAAGCTGGAATCCTGAGTGGAATATATGCCGAACCTTTATCCACGCTGTATTGGGCTAAAAGATACACTCGATATGCATATTCCATGCTTGTTTTTTCCGTGCATGCCTCTCAAACTAGATCAGGGACAAATACGACGCATCTTTTGACCCGCGCATTTCCATCCACACTTCTATCTCGATCTCCTACGCTGCAGACCACCTCCTCGACCTATCCGTTCATGCTTCCAGGCGTAGATGTCCTCAGCCATTCTCGTGGACAGCCTGTTTCTTGTTGCACGTCCTATCCGGAAGTACGGAAGAAAGGGATGAGTCGGCTACTATTTCTATCATCTCGCATACCACGACGCCTCTTAGCGAAGAAGTGTTCAATACCTACTCAAAGCGAATGATGAGCTGATCCTCGCATACGGTTCCTCGTTTCCACAAAATCCGGATGATAAAATTACGCTACAGCTAGGTAGGTCCTCTGACAGTCGAGCAATGATATGTAAGAGCCAGGTCTAGAAGAGATAGTCCAGTGCTGTGAACATTCAAACCTCGGATGTGAAAGATTTCTCGTCTAGTTGCGAGTCTGAAAGATGCAACAAATCAGGATCATCTTCAGGCTTGAACGTAATTTTAGTGTGGTCATGAATACTGAATGAAATACCTACCAACGGGGAATGCACAAACAACTCCTCCATGACTGGGCCCAAGTTGATGAGCCACCAAACTTTCGCGATCGGATGCTTCCAGAAGTTCCACTTCAAATTCCCCCAGACACTTAACGTGACCAAGCAATACAGCGCATATGCCAATGAAGAACTCAACACCATGGCCTTGTTTTCCAGCAAATCTATGGTATTAGCATGATATTCAAGTTAGTAGGGGTTCCCAAGTTCAAGCTGCTGCAAATTTACCTGCAAGTGACCTCGTCTCTGCGGTGTCACTGTCATCATATATCACTAAGGCTATCACCAACAATCCATAGAAGGCCCAGCACAGTATGGGAAGTTTGAATGGTTCATTTAGGAAAACTTTGCGAGTGATTGGGATTCGTACTAGGACAACAGCTAAGAGCCAGGTTGCTGCCATAATGACAGCAGTGACTTCTGCGGCCCGGGAAGAGAACCATGGGTATTGCATGATAATTATGTAGATGACTTGAAAGCAGGCGTAAAAAATTGCTCGTAGTAGTGGTCTCGGCATTGTGCCAGTGGGTACGGCAAAGAGGAAGATTTGGATAGGGGTAAAAACCCAAAGCTAGGCGTTACCTGTGAAGTTCAGACGGGGTGGGAAAACTTTTGACTTAGAAGCAGTTTTAGACTCCGTGCTTGACAGTAACGCGCATGTCGCGGAAAGTAACCCATCCATTCCTCAAACAGAAAATATCGACCAGCAGACATGTATGTGTACCACACGTGGAAGGCTGCTAACGGCACCGAGTAAATGCGCATGGTGATGTCAAGTACGTTAGAACAACCCTAACAAGTCCTCCTGGGGCTGCGCATTCTGAGCCGGCTGGGACGGTGGCGCCGACGACCCTCCAAATCCTTCGAAAGGCGAGGACAGGGATGTCACTGTCGGCGATAGCGCCGTTGACAGCGATCCTGCACCCGTATCCATAGTTTCCATACCACCGAAGATCGACACAAGGTCGTCTAGTGGATTCGCAGAAGTGCCTGACAGGAAGTTTGCTGCAGCGGGTGTCGAAGGAAGTATTTGAGTAGCAGCGAGTCCAGAAGGCTGCCCATCCTGCGCGGAATCATCACCAAAGTCGAGAAGATTCTCTGCTTGTTGGCCAGCAACAACCGTCTGGAGGGCTTTCTGAGCATCTGAAATTCTGTAATTACACCATGAGAGTCGTCAATTCAGTAGAAACAAACAAAGCTGGCCAGTGGGCACTCACTCTGATCCTTTGCGTTGCACTGAGTCGGCACCAACCCGTCCATGACCAACAAATGTTTCAGCAGGTTTGTGGTAAACACTTGCTAATGATGATATCTCGCCGAGGAGCTCTTCAAGCAACGCGGGCGAAACCGTTGTTCTCGGGATAGATATTGGTGGCCGATGAGCAAGGACAACAGCCTAGTTTACGTTGATTAGCACCATCGACCAAGGCCCAGAAATTTTTCACACCTTCGCTGCGCCAGGGTCTGTTGACAAGAGTCTCCAATATATGTAAGCGCGGTCCCGCACATCATGGTGAATCGCAATCCTTCGTTGCTGTATTCAACACACGCTGAACGACTCCCTGGGACGAGTCAGGCTTCTTCAAGAATAGCTTGACCACTGCAGTCAACGTTTGAAGCTGTACCTATTGTGCAAGATCAGTACTTGTGGCACCAGTTTAAAGTAACACTGAAGTCAAATACCTGGTACGACTCCTCGATGAAAGAGTCCACAAATATCCCCAGCAGTTCATCTGCGTTGTCGATCTTATCGGCATACTCGCCAATAATCCAAATCAAGGACGTTTTCGCTTCTGGCTCGTCCAGCTCTTCTAAATTAGCGCAGAGTGTAGGGATTACACCTTCGTATGTAGAGGGGTACTTCCTGAAAATATCCTAAAAGGAATGTCATTACGAAGGCCACAAAAAGCAAGATATCACTGCGCACCTTCATGACAACCACGGCTTCTTGGACCACATAGCTGACGCGAGTGTTAATGAGCTCTAACAATACGTTCACACAACGTTCCGCTGCGCTCTCAATTAGAATTGCTGTCTGGCCAATAGCTTTGATGCTCTTCCGGACAAAATCGACGTCGACCTCCGACGAGTATCTGACCAGCACGGTCAGCAATGCAAACCACAGAAGTTGCTATGACTCACTCTTTCAGTTCGCTCAACAAAGCATCTACGTTGCTATCACTGGCCAATCGGACCATGATATCAAGTTTCTCGATCTTGACATACAACGGGTCATTGTATTTACAGAAGAATACCCTCATTTCGTTCGAAAGGAGGTCGGATCGTTTTTGAAGGAGAAGGTTGATATTCCGCAGCGCAACCCATTGTACCTCGGGCGGAGACGATAGCAGGGTGACTAGTGGTGGTGCCATCTTGCGGATCAACTGCTTAACGAGATCGTCTCGTCGAACATGGCGTATGTGGATCATGATGACCTTGAAATGTGAAGGTCAAGTCATGACAAGGGCCGGATGAGTGACACTGTGTACCTTCATTGCTGCAAGAACAACACTACCATTTACATGCTGGAATTGAGGTACGACGCGCTCGCAGATGTGCTCACTCTCTTTGTCGTCTGTCGCGTCATACCGTGCTAGAGCATTCAAAATTGCGACTCGACCCCATTCTGAACACTCGTTGAGGGCGATGAGTAGTTTGTTCAGTATAGCGGAGGTGATGGAGAACACAGCGGGATCGGAAGTAGAGTCAGATGGTTGGTTGGATGTTGCTGAGATGTGGATGTCTGTGAGTGCTGCGACTGTATTCGCCACGACCTAAATGCAAAGATGAATCCTACTCTGTAAAACAGAAAGATATGAGATTACCATAGGGTTGCTATCTGAAATCATATCACGAAGCTGATCCAAAAAACCATTCTCGATCACAAGCTCGGGCTTGAGATCATACAGCTTTGCAACGCAGAGCGCAGCAGTCTTTCGAACATACGGGTTGTCATCTCGCAAAGCGCGTTGAAGAGGGTCGCATAGATAGTCTATAATTTTCTCTGCACGCAGACACCCCATAGTTCGAATCGCCAGTGCGCGTACGAGAGGATTGGGATCCTCGGAGTCCTTGACGAAGGTGTTCACGGCCAATATGACGAGTTCTGGTTGTGTCTTTGCATAGTTCATAAGATATAGATATACGAGCTTCTTCTGTTCGAGGTCATCTGTCTGCATATTCTTGAGAACATCGGGGAACAAGCCGCTGACGTCTAGGGATGTGTTAAGCACGGAGGGAAGATCAAGCGAGAATGAGCAGCACCTTTGCCGACGGTCATCGATGCTATGACCCGCTTGATCGCATCTTTTCGTTTATCGCGGTACTCGCTGTTGAGATCCACGCTGAGTTCATAGTTTTCGCCTTTCCGTGGTGCTCGTATGCTCATCGAGAGTAAGTATTAGAGATTATGCCATTACCTAAGCACACTTTAATTGTCTTTGTTGCTACACGTGTGCCGAATCTATATGCATCAGCGGGTTAGATCGTGCTACAGAGTGCTACGGAGCGCTTCGTAGCACTCTGTAATCATGTGTAATGAGTTACGTTTCCCTGATGCTGGTAATTGGATCATGTACAACCCAGGATGCAACTTTCATCATAGCACTGAGGTGCACGTTAGATCGTTGAACATTGCAAATTGAAGATCAACAACCCTCGCTGTTTGACAGTAAGGTGTAGATAATCCCGCGAGATCAAACGTATTCTTATGTACAACGGCGCAGTTACTGATATAATACGAGCCAGTTAGTATGTAAGAAGGTGAATCGCTATACAGGACCAAGAAGCAAGACATACGACGAAAGGAGAAGTGGAGAAGATCTATGTGTCGACAATGCCGATCTGTCTGGCAGATAGATTCTATCCTGCTTCAGGCCTCAGGTGTGACCGAGGATCCGATCTACACCTAGACTAGCATACGGTAGTATGATACCGCATACTTACTTACATTGCACGAACACCACTACAACAGTAAACCAACTGATTAATACTTCCACTCAATCCCCAGATCGCTGGATCTTCTGATTCGAAAACTTGAAAATAAGTCCCGTGAGCAAAAAAAAGATTAATAAACGCAAACACTCACTACAGCGACAACAGTTCCATCATCCAACTCCTCCTTCCTCAGTACAAGCTCATACCCAAATACCTTGGGAAGAATGATTCGCCATACAGCCCAGTACAGCACGCCTGCAAACATGATAGTGATTCCAACAAGGCAGTACCTATAGAACAAGCGATGAATGAGAATAAGGGACGCACTAGTGGAAGAAGCGTACAGGTAATATGGTAATGGTGGGGTGTCACCAACGCCGCCGGGTGGTCTCAGGAAGGGAGCAACGAGGACTGTATAGAGGTTTGGTTAGGGAAAGAAAGCGTGGAAGCTGTAGATGGTAACTCACGGAAGGCAGCAGCAACCAAGAAGAATACGGCGAAAGGCCACCATACTACATCATATGCATGAAGATATCACATAGGAAGAGCAACATATTTGTTCACCTTTGAATGGCCGAACAGCATCTGGCTTCTTCCATCTCAGATAGAACAGACCCTGGCGGCATCAAGAAGTAAGAAACACTCCAGACAGAGTTGAAAGACGTACGGTGACAATAAAGAAGTCAATAATCTGCTGTGGGTATCCTTCGATATCCAAAATGAAGGGGAAAGCAATGTTTGGGGGAGGTGCGATTATAGTGATGGCCTAGGAAACCAATCTCAGATTAATATCACGGATATCATGTAGTTCTACAGTAGCACTTACGGAGGGTATCAAGTGGATGATCAATCCCGGAAGGGGGGACTTCCCTGTGGGCCAATTTGAAGCCCAGAATTTGTTTCCGAATGGTAGGGGTATCCCTTCCTTTGCGAGCTCTGCGATTGAAGCATGAGCTATGTATAATTACGATGTTTGGTATGACGAACCTTGGTTTACTCGTGCCGCAGCAAAAGTCTAGATGAAAAGTTCTTGGGTTACATATTTTAATAACATCCCTCGCTTACCACAGTAATAACGTTCTACGGCGCACCATCAGAGAGATCATGATATAAAATACATAGGACTCACTCCAAGAGCACTGTCATGAGAACAATAAATCAGGAAACCCTCAAACTCAGGACGTTGAGCTCACCTAAGAGCAATGAAAACTGCGAGCACACGCTCCGCAGCAGAACCAAAGACGGTCTCGAAAAACAAAGCAGCAACAGTAACACCAGACTCGTCGATTTCTGTCTATCGATACCATTCAGTATTTCGTTCGTGGTGCAGACACAAGAAGTTCTTACCTTGGTTGCAGCTGCGAAATAAGCCACATTTGCAAGCAAGTACAAAACGGCGCATATACCAAGACCGAGCAGGCCCGCGATCCTGAGCGTCCTCACTGGATTACGGACATTGTTCATCACGTAGTTCACGTTAGACCATCCCGCATATGCGTTCAGGATTTTAAAGGTAGCGGCAGCATACTGTCAAGACCGCAATCAGCAGGTGGACATCTAGGAATATCATTGAACGCACACCGCTGCTGCTCGTGGAGCTCCCCGCGAACGCGTTTCTGAAATTATAGTGTGGATCTGCGACGCGGGTTTTACCAGAGAGAACTACCCAACCTGCGATCACAACAAATAGGAGAATTAGGATCTTGAATATCGAGAGCAACTGAAAGGAAGATGATGAATATGATAATGGTAAAAAAATGAAAGTTTGCATACGTTCATGATCAGCACGCCGGTCTTTGGGGTCAATCCGTGTAGAAGGGTTACGAAGAAGATGACTAAAGGCCATGAAACGACCGTAACATGCCAGTTGTGTAAATCATACCCCCCAGTGCAATTCCACGTTCATTCCAGCGACCTACGAGCTGATCAGCGGCAACCAAGATACTATATCATATCAATTGAGTCGTTTCATTAAGATCCAAAATACGCACTTGCTAGCAAAAACCTTGACAAAGCAGCCAAGTTTTAACACCGAATATCCATCCGAAATAAGATATGACTTACGATACAACCGGTTGGAGTGAATCCAAGTAATATACAGTAGACAGCGAATACTACGGTGGCAAGGTACTTGGGCTTTGTATAGACGGCCTCAAGGTATACCTTCTCTCCACCACTGCGAGGAAACATGGTGCCGAATTCAAGCCATATGAAGAGGCCACAGAGACTAAAAAAGAAGCCGAAAGCCCAGAGCATGAACGAGGCACCGACTGAGCCCACGCTGGAGAGGATGGAGGACGGTGTTGAGAATATACTGGTGCCAACGATCCGTCCAACGATAAGGAGAGTGCAAGAAGTTACACCAAGGTGACGACCGAGACCTCCAGCAGTATCTGGACAATATTAGACGAGTAAGTTGAAAGAATAGCTAGCAATCGCACATTCTTCAAAGGTCAGCTCTCCAGGATTAAGGTTAGGATCATCGTTTGGTTGCGTCTGAATCCTCTGATCCTTTTCGGTGAGCTGTGACTCGGAAGCATGGTTCTCTTCCTGTTTCTTGTTTAACCGCGACCACCAGGTAGTAGACATCCTGTAGATGAGGTGGGAAATACGAACACAAGATCATCACTGAAAACCAACGTTCCTTATTAACTTTCATATACACGTTATGCCCGTTCTAGTTGCGAGGTATGAAGGCCAAAAAGAGTGACTCGTGACCTGGAGGAGAAGGCGGGGCATCACACCCTCGTATTATCGACACCCCAAGTTAGATTTTTCGGAAGCAAGAACCAAATAGATTCTACTGCGGCGGCAGAACAGATAAGAACGAATTACATGAAGCAAAGAACAAAACCACAATCGGACGAGTAGTCATATCCGCTAGTGCTGGAAAACTCGAGTCTTATAAGGACTTCGTGGAGCGGTTGTGCAGTACATGGACATACTTCTTTATATCAATACTCATGCCAGCACGGCTTATCGGACGTTGCCGGCTAGTCTATTCAGGATGTACCTTAATTTCCCGGCAAGCAGCATGCTGAGCGTTCCGTTCCTCAGCCATCCTATTGGAACCACGCCTTCTCTCGTATATACCGTTGGTTTTCCGTTCCTATTTGGGACACACCTCTATATCACATACACCTTTGGCTTTCCGTTCCTATTAGATAAGCGTGTACTGTTATATGACACCAGAGACATTGCCGGATTTGCTGGAGTCTGATAGTCTTATTACTTATTCTACTCTATCATAACCCATTTGTAATATTTTCGAGAAAGAAGAAGTGTTTTTGGAGGTGTAGATGAAATTACAATTTTTGATCTCGCTAGTTGCCGCTTTTGAGTGAAACACACTAGTACTGTAGAGTTTGGTCTTCGAGCGAACGTCGGACGTATCAATATCCCATAATAACCACTTATCACTGAGCTATGCGAATACATGTGGACAGTGGAATACAATCTAATATTGTAGTGGTAACTGTGTACCAAATTAGTCTGGTCCATCGACGTTTACCTGCTTATCGGGTACCCCGCGATGGGAAGCACGTGGGTGAGTAAAATAATTGTGATTGGCAAATGAGTCGACGAGAAGTGATGCATATGTGATGAAGGGCACAATACGAGTGTTGGGAACATTTGGCAGATATAGGAGTGTTCAAATGCTGAACGACACTTCGCCGTTACCAGAGTGCTGGAGCGTCCTGGAGAGCCCAACTGAGTAGGGCTTGACCAAGGATCCAGTACTTAGGAAATGAAGTAATGCAGTAAATGGAGCCTGAATTGCAAATATTGAGACCACATACCACTTTCAAGTCGCTGAAGTGCCTGCAGCTACAGTTGGAGGTAGTACCACCATCATCAGCTAACAGACGCACTAGAACTTCGCAAGGTGGCTACTCTGGGCGACGGATACCTGCGTTCGAATGTTGTTAAATAGTAACACAGGTAAGGGCCTGCACAAATCTACGATGTATTACATTCAAGGTTCTCTTGAGGTAGGGCACTGATTATCTTTTCACAAGCGGCCAAGATCATATTCCGACACACCACGTCCATGATACACCTCCTTCCAACTTGCGCGACATCGTCACAGTCCATCGAGATGCACATCTTCCCCATTCTTACAGCGGCCTCCAAAAGAGCACCGTTGAGTATAATTCCAAGCCCGTCTTTCGCTCTGCCTGTGCTCACGCAAGAGTTGAGTATGTGGCACAGATACCACGTCGCATCTTTCCGCGCTAGAGCCCTCGAGCCTATCCTGTCTACCGAGCACAGTTCTCCGTTTGTGTGGATTCGACGCCTGCAATAATTCCGGACCACGAGACGCCTCATTCGGAGTTGCGTTGCTGCCCATAGTCCCTTCAGTAGTTCTGGTAAGGTACAACAACTCTAACGCCCGAATTGACTCCAATGCTATGCGCTCCCTGATGCCAGCTGTATACTCAAAGTAGCGGGGTGATATCGAGTCCAACGTATCCATCGCCTCGCTGAGAAGAGTCAAGAGGTCCGCACGAGGGTCGGGGACGGGTGTCTGGCTGGGAGGTTTAGGTACCTTCTCGTTTCCTTTGCGGCTTTTCGACGTTTTCTTGGCCAAGCTTGCGCCTAGATGGTGCATAATGTATGCCCGGGATATGAGACTGAAACTGCAGACAACGGGGACAAATATGGTGCCGATGAGGCGGGATACAGCGATACTGTTGGAATTGCTGATGTCCTGGCAGAAGAGGGCTGGAAGAGCGACGCGCAAGACGTACACCAGAAGTGGGGAGGCCATTGCGATTCTCGACTCGTTGAGTTCTGTTGGAACAGAAGACATTGAAATATTTTGGAGGCCTAGAAATTTACCGACGGTGTTGATCGTGCGTGTGATCGCAGCTAGCAGGCGCGAGTTGCGTGGTGGTTCGTCACCTGTCTGTGAACTTGTTGAGTCGAGAACACTTCGGAGGGAGGTGAATGCTGCAGTGAGCGACGATGACAATTGGCCTGTCGCATTGAGGCGTCCTTCCCCGAATCGTGAGTCAAGGAAAACGAGGCGGATATATGAGATTTGCACCTTCCCGTTTTGCAGGCCAGTCATCGTCCTGAAGCTGAGGCTCTTGAGTTTTACCTGCCTTCTTCGTTTTCTTCGGAGGAGGAGCAACTTCCGAGTCGTCTGGCATGTCCTTGGCCGCGTTTTGCCGCAGATGAACGAGTTCTAGAAAATGATAAGTAAGGCTGGCGGACGGGATGGTATTCGAAGACTCGAACACACCTGCTTCATCCTCTTCCCGCTTTTGTTTCAAGGACTCAAGTTCTCTTTCGAGTGAGAGTGCATGAGTCCTCCACCCATCCTCATCGTACGTTGCCTGACTATCGTCGGACGTAGAAAAATACGACCGAAGGTCGAGGAGATAACCTGTGTATCCGTGTCATAAAAGCCTGTGAGTGAGCCTTGAAGCAACCGACTTGAAATAGGACTGGTCCTTCGGCTTGTGTTTCAAGACGGTGATGGCCTAGGGAGGAAACAAGTAATGAGCGGCTTGACCACTGACTTTGATCCTGTGCGAGAAGTTGACCGTACGATGGCAAGGCGGACTGAGACCTGGGGTGCGACCGACATATCTCTGAAATTCTACACCGTGTATACAAAGACTGATTGGAAGATTAAAATTCAGTAACCGTTTGGTTGTAGAGGTCAAAGATTGATAATTGTTCACACGGCTACTGTTGTCGTCTAACCAACGTCTAATATGCGTTTACCCTTTTTGATTTCTCTAGTGCGCGCATGTCCTTCATCGTACTTGCATTACCTTGTGAAGCGCCGTTGTGAGAGATGTGCAACTCGACTTATTGGTCGTAAAATCAAAACCAGGCTGCTCTCGAGCCTAGGCTTCAGGGCTGATGGAAGAGTAGAACAACTTGCACGTATCGCGTTCACTGTCAATGCACTTGGTTGTGTAAACCGTGTTGATATCCAGGAATAAACAGGTATCACATAAAACAGCCAGAACACCGGACATAATTGCATCACATCACATCAGTAAGGAGACCCGGTAGCGATCCATCATGATCTGAAATGCCACACTTGTTTTGCGACCCAGGAACTCAGGTGGGATATAATACCATTAGCAGCTAGTAACGGCCACGTCGACACGATAAATATGGCGAACCATATCGGAGAAACGATCGAGATGATGACAACGTCGGAAGTGCAGTAAATCACAATGGACAATGTTGCAGCAAAGAATATCATTCTGTCAAAGAGTGAGTAAGGATTTCATCGTGCAACCAGAAACGTACCCCCAAATCAGAAGAGCATATGGCAGACTGAGCATGAGTGCAAGGCTTTCGAGGCCGAGCATAGACTGCGACATTTCTATCATGAACAAAGCCTAGTGGACGTGAAGAATGCAAGTCAAACGAATGATGAACAGGAAACGTACCACACTTTCAGCGGAGTCCCGATGGCTGTCATTGACTTGTCCGGCCAGGACTAGTGAGACCACTAACGAGCCCAAGGCACAAAGGGTAGACATATACAATACAATGATTGCAGACACTTGATTCTGGACGGGTGGAACTAACAGAAAACTGATATCAACAGTAAGCATCACCGTAGACTGAGATAGACGTCAAATGCACTGATGACATGAAGTAAAAGCACAACTTGCGAATACCGAGTATCCCTTCCATTCACTATTGAGCCTGTTGATAAAACTTTCCCAACGTCGTTGAACGATGGTGCAATCGACCCATATCTTGTGAAGGGCCTTGCTTTGAGCACCAGGGGCTCCAAACAAAATGACATTTATGACGCGAAAAAGGATGCTTTTCGGAGGGGGAATGTAATCGACGTATAGCGACTGGTCTACGTCAAGCCGAGCTCCCGGCTGTCCACAGAAGTTTACAAACTTGTTGCTGCCTAATCGAGTAATTAGCAGAAGGCCTGCACTCGCAACTAACCTGAGCTCACAAAACTCTCCCATAAACCGAGCTGAGGTCATCAACAATGGTGTCAGAAGCAATCAACGTAACTTCCGTGCTAGGACTTACCGACGATCCATACAGAATGCTCATGCTCCTTGTCAATGCTGCCTGAACAGGTGATCAACGATGACCTCTCACATATCAGGAAACAATTCACTCATGAGAGGATCCATAAGGTCTAGCATACTTGAAACCTGGTCGGAAGTAAAAGATGCTAGGAATTTTTTGGAGGTGATATTGTCTATCACGAGTTATTCTGGCACGTGGAATATGATTTTAAAATCTTTACCCACCTGCCCGAGTAAACATAACGATTTCCTTAAGTGTCACGAGGACATCTTCCGGAAGGAAGCGTTTGTTTGAAAACAGTTCAATGTGTGACCTGTCAAGATGATGACAATGTGTAACGATGTCAGGTAAGGACTGTTGCAAAGTGTCAGCACATTTACTTCGGTCAGATAAGGAACGTGCATACTTCTGAGGTCGCACGGACCAGTACTGCGATTCTAGCGCATATCCTGGGAGTAACACCATGGGAGAAGCTCGGATGAGTATTGGACGGAATAAACTCACTGATGTGGCTTTTGCGTTTTACTCCTCGAACATTATCCATAAGATCTCTAGATTTGTAGGGCTCCAGCCAGAAAATGACATGTCTGTCGTGATCGACAAAGTAGTAGCCCCATTTCCCTTCCCCATCCACCTCCATATGCTCCAAAGTGAGTTCGACGGACGCATGAAAGGTGTGTGCCTTGCGAGCTTCTTTGTACGCCTCTTTAACAACCTCACCCATTATGGCCACAGTTCCAGGGTCTCGAACATCAACATCGGTGAAAACTCGCTGGATGGAGATATGATTAAGTCAAGTCATGTAGGAGCTGCCATGGACATACATCGTACGAGTGGTAGAAAAACAAAGCGCCTTCTGGGTGCGTGGGCGGTTCCCATCCCGACACCGGAGCGAGCTCCCTGACGGCCCCTTTTAATTTCATCGAGTGTGCTCCCACCAGCATGCTTACTCTGAATAGTCCAAAGGACCTTTTTGAATCTCAAAATCTTAATTGTGATCTTGACTGTTAATATGGTTTATAACGGCGTTAAGATGATAATGCGCTCAACAAATATATTCCACATACAATTGATTCCTCTCATATCGCTTTATCTGTCCAGGTATGATGGGAGTGAGAGTGAACTGTCCAGGCGCCGCAGGATAGGGCGGCACGGTGATAGCAACAGTGGTATGAAAACTGGGCTCAGGCATCGCGGTATAGCTCGGTGTCGATTACACAGAAGGGGTCGGGAGGGACTGGGTGTTGGAAGCTAAAGAATTCAACCCTTCATTTCGTGGAGATGCTTTAGACAACGGCACTGCAAGGGTCTCATGGGTCTTATTGTCTTGGTCTGCCAGATGAGAGCTGAACGCTAAGCCTGGTTCTCGAAAAGTCCTCTCTCTTCCGCCGATAAAGACCTGACAGTGCCGGAATAGTCGCAGAAGGAAAGCGAGGAGAGGTTCGTATATGAGCGAAATATGGTTTTCCTGACAGAGAGCTTCAACCAGTCAATGAACATCCGAATGGGATACCCTCCAGGCATATTGATAATCGAGGAACAAACTCGAACTTTGGCGATAACCTTAAATGGCCAGCGGCCAAGCTTCCAAGTCTCACGGACATTATATCACTTACTTAAGCTTGACTCAATATCCTGCCACCGCCCGCAGCTGGCCCACGAATGAGTCATTGTGTGGTGTTCTACCAGATATCCCTGTTTGTCGGATATTCCATGGAAGAGGGTCCTGGTCTAACCTTGTGTCACACACTGTGGCCGAGGTCATAGCCGGCCCGGGTTGTACATGTTTGCGTGCAACATGTGATGCGAAGGTTTCGTTAGGTCCCCTATTTTAAGTTCTCGGATGACTTCCCCCAGCGTTTAAAACATCATTCTAATTTTAAATCAGTGTTCTCAACTCCTGGCGAGGCGCTCACATGCCACAGTTGTCAATCTCGTTTCCGCAGTAAATACCTAGCGCGGATGTTGGACAGGGTCTCGGCGAGGGTCGGATATTCTGAGATCGAAATATTCATCAAATTCTAGGATCCCAAATGCTGTTCGTGTTCCATGGAATCTTCCTGCTGACAGTCCACTCTTGAGGTTCCCGCAGTGAATGCATGTTCTCCTTGATATCTGACAAGAGAGTGCGCTCGTGTTCTAAATTCATAGCTGGCATGGTGGGTAGTGGTTGACAGAGGGATGGATATTCGAATCTCGATTGACAAGAGTGAGCAAATAAGTACAAGTGCGATACTGCATTATGCAGCCTGATGGGCGTTTAACGAAACGAACGCATGACCGAACACGTTTTTCCGTTTTAAATGATAGCGGACGCAAACGAGCGGTTGCCGAACGGGCCCTTAGGCGCCTTGACATACATATACAGCCTACTTATGATTTGATCATTCAGTGGCAAACAAAGATAACGCGAATAAATAACGTACTTACAAACTCGAGCTTCCATCGTTCAACGTTCAACCTCCACAGATTGTTCGTTCCGTCTGTGAGTGATAACCTAAATTCTAAGTCAGCGGAAAAAATTGAGACTGCAATCAACAGGCAATGACCACGTATTTGCCTACCCCCATCTCGTCGTCGCAGGCCCATGTAACACCCCATTCTGCGATAAGACCAATACCAGAATCAGATCTGCTACCGCAACCACCTTCAAAATTATACTCGTCAGACATGATGGTTGCAGAGACATCAATAATAATGCCCCGCCAGAAATTTGAAGGACATACCGAACCTGTCTCCAACGCAATACACCTGCCCGATGGACAGCGGATCATCACATGTTCAATCGACGGTTCGCTGCGAGCATGGAACTTAGAGAGCGGAGAGCAGATTGGCGACGAATGGCAGGACGCCAAAATTCATGTGTTCACCATAGCATTGTCTCCGGATGGAAGGAAATTAGCGAGCGGCAGTGAAGATGGTGTGGTGAGGTTGTGGGACATTGACACAACCAAGGTCATCGTTGAATGGACTGGGCACAAAAGCCTTGTGACATCTGTTTGTTGGGGTAAGGATGGACATCGAGTGGTGAGCGGATCCCTCGATGGTACCGCAAGGCAATGGAATGTGGAAAACGGAGAGACTATCCTCGAACCAATCAAGACTGGACACGCAGAGGTGCAGGCAGTCGTCTATTCGCCAGACACAAAAATGTTTGCGACTGCTGGGTCCGACAAGTCCCCGCCTGGCCACAGAGATTGCTTGGTCAAGGTCTGGGATGCCGATACAGGGACCCTAATTACTTCTCTCAAAGGACACACAAACAGAGTGTCCTGTCTAGCTTGGGGCGCGGAGCTTGTATCTGGATCAGCTGATCACTGGATTAGGATATGGGATACTTCCACGTGGAGGCAAATCATCGGTCTGGACGAGCACACTGACGGTGTTCGTGCCATTGCAATATATAATCGCATTTTGGCAAGCGGATCGCAAGACAAGACAGCGCGACTGTGGAGCCTAGACAATGGCCAACCAATCAGTTCACCCCTCAAGCATGCAGATACAGTGTCTTGCGTGTCATTTTCGGCAGATGGACAGCTAGGAACCACTGGCTGCTGTGACCATAATGCGTACGTATGGACAATCGTTAGAGACACCCGCAGATTCGGCTTCCTGCCAAAAGATCCAAAGGTGAGTTTTGAAAGCTCCTCTGATTGCAACTATGTTCAAGGAACTGAGAGCACCTCCTGCAGGACAGTAACTTGAAGTCGTCACTCAATGTCCGTTATACGTCTTAAAAAAACCATTTGATTTGATCTCATTACCGTTCTAGGCTGATGCTACTCAACTGCAGCAAGTCAAGGATGTCAGCGAAGTAACATCAGAGTGGCTGCACACCCCAAGGGGGCAAGACTGGCTGCACTCCCGGATGGGGAAAGATTGGCTGCAGACTCAGGGAGGACACGATATGCTGCAGACACAAAGCGGGCAAGACTGGCTTCAAACACAAAGTGGGCAAGACTGGCTGCAGACTCAAGGCGGACAAGATTGGCTACGAACCCAAGGCAGGCAAGACTCGCTGAAAGTCCCGTGGCAACAAGACTGGCTGCAAGTCGTGAGACGACAAGACCTGTCGCAGACCCAGAACGGGGAACATCTTCAAATAAATATACAATCACCGTCACCGTCACTGTGGAGTGAGCAGGATACACCATTCATACCGTCGACACCGTCGACCCTAAGTGAGCAAGAGTTTCTGGAGGACAATGAAGGGCAAATACAACCATATACCCATGACGAGGTCGATTTCCCGCAGATTGCAGGCAGTGGAGAGGGGGTGAATTCCCGGGACGCGCCAGCATGGGCGCAGCCTGGGAGCCGGCGGAAGTGGGAGCAGCCTTCGACTTCGCAAGACTTTCTGGATACCAAGGCTGGGCAAGAGTGGATGCAGACCGAGGAAGGGAAAGACTGGCTGAATGGCCCGAAGGGGAAAGACTGGTTGCAGACCCTAGGCGGGCGGGACTGGCTACAGAGCCAGGGCGCGCGAGGCTGGCTGCAGAGCCAGAGCGGGAGAGACTGGCTGTGGACCCGTGGTGGGAGAGACTGGCTGCAGACACAGGGCGGGAGAGACTGGCTGCAGACCCAGGGCGGGCGAGACTGGCTGAATACATCAAGCGGAGGAGACTGGCTACAGACCCAGAGCGGGAGAGATTGGCTACAAGTTCAGGGCGGACGAGACTGGCTGGATACCTCCAACGGACAAGACTGGCTACAGACCCAGAGTGGGCAGGACTGGCTACAGATACAGAGTGGCAGAGTCTGGCTGCAGATCCAGAGCGGGAAAGACTGGCTGCAGTCCCAGAGTGGGAAAGACTGGCTACAAACTCAGACCGGAAGAGATTGGCTGCGGACTCGGTGCGGGAGAGACTGGCTAGGGTCACAGGGCGGGAGAGACTGGCTGGAGACACAAGGCGGCAGAGATATGCTACAGACCCATGGTGGCAGAGACTGGCTGGATGCTTCCAGTGGCCGAGACTGGCTGCAGACCCAGAGCGGGAAAGACTGGCTTGAGGCGCAAGGCGGACAAGATTGGTTGCAGACCCAGAGTGGACGAGACTGGCTGCAGACGCCCCATGGTCAAGCATGGCAGTCAACTTCTATGTCGTGGCAAGGCCACTCACAGGCTCCACGCTTCTCACCACGCCCATGGTTAGGTTTTTTCTCTCGTCGCCCTCCTAATCCTCGTGCTGCCTCTTCAAAGGATAAAGTGTGTTCTCTTCTAACCTCCTCATTCCTATACTCATTTATTTCAAAGCTCAGACACATAGCTCCGCCACCAAACACACGAGCTGCCTCTCAAGGACAGCCAAAACAAGACCCTTTACAAGTTGGAGAGCCGTCATTGCCACCACCAAACCTACAGGCAGAAGCTCCCACTCCAGAGTTGCCACCCGGACCAATGCCCCCTCCTGTCGCCTCTACTCCACTAACCATAAAAAATATGCCCGATGCTCCTATTAAAAGACGGGCTGGGTGCTGGACTCGTTTTTGGTCTTGTAGCTGCTGCACTTCCGCTGAATCTTCTGATGGTCTTCATTAGCACAGGTCCACGATTCTTTGTTCATACAAGTTTCGTTTCTCGCCTTTTTTTTGTTCTTGCTCATCCATCATCGTACTTCCGTTTGATACTTGTATGCACAATATTGTCATACCATAGCCCTTACAGCACAACATCTTGTCGCATCGTTGTATTTTCTCCGCATTACCTAGATGTACCTGTGTGATAAGTAACATTCATTCGATCTGGTATTATGTAGCGGATACATAGGGATCAAGGGCACTAGCTTAGGAGAAAAAACGTGACAGTCCAAACACGTAGAATGGCGGTGGACTGATGAGGTGCTGGCGGAGGAATAGAATAACTTGCAAGTGTCACGTTCACTATAAATGCACAGGGCTGTGTACACCACATCAATATCCAGTAACAAACCAGTTCGCATAAAACATCCAAAACACCAGACATAACTGTAGTACATCGGATTAGAAATGAGACCTGGTGGCTACCCACCATGATCTGAAATACGACATTTGTTTCGCGATCCAGGGACTCATGTGGGATACATGGATACTATTAGTAGCTAGTACCGGCCACGTCGACAGGATAAATATGGCAGCCCAAATTGGAGAGACGATCGAGATGGTGACAACGTCGGAAGTGCAGTAAATCACGGTGGATAACGCTGCAGCAAAGAATGCCATTCTATCAAAGAGTAAGTCACCGTCTCATTTGTGCAACCAAAAACGTACCCCCAGATCAGAAGAGCATACGGCAGGCTAAGCATGAGTGCAAGGCTCTCGAGGCCGAGCACAGATTGCGACATTTCTAACATGAACGAGGCCTAGTGGTGGGCGTAAAAAATGCAAGTCAAACGAACAACAAACAGGAAAACGCACCACGCTTTCAGCGGAATCCCGCCGGCTGTCATTGACTTGTCCAGCCAGGACCAGTGAGATCACTAACGAGCCCAAGGCGCAGAGGGTAGACATATACAATACAAGGATTGCAGGCACTTGATTCTGGACAGGTGGAACCGCCAAAAAACTGATATCAACGGCAAGCATCACCGTAGACTGAAATAGACGTCGAATGCATTGACGACAGGAAGCAAAAGTACAACTCACGAATATCGTGTATCCATTCCATTCATTATTGAGCCTGTTGATGAAGTTTTTCCAACGCCGTTGAACAATGGTGTAATCGACCCATATCTTGTGAAGGGCCTTGCTTTGAGCATCAGGGGATCCAAACAAAATCACATTCATGACGCGAAAAAGGACGCTTTTCGGGTGGGGAACGGAATCGCCGTATAACGACTGGTCTACGTCAAGTCGGGCGCCCGGCTGTCCACAGAAATTCGCAAACTTGTCGCTGCCTGATTAAGTAGTTAGCGGACGGCTTGCGCTCGCAACTAACCTGAACTCACAGAAATCTCCCATAAACCGAGCTGAAGTCATCAACAAAGGTATCAGAAGCCATCAACATAGTTTCCGTTCTTAGACCTACCGACGATCCACACAGAATGCTCATGTTCCTTGTCAACACTGCCTGAACAGATAATTAACGATAACCTCTCATATCAGGAAGCGATTCACTCATGAGAGGATCCATAAGGTCTAGCATGCTTGAAACCTGGTCCGGAGTAAAAGTTGCTAGGGATTTTTCAGAAGTAATATTGTCTGTCACAAATCATGCCAGCACGTCGCAGGTGATTTTTAGTGTTTACCCACCTGCCTGGGTAAACATAACGATTTCCTTAAGTCTCACGAGGACATATTGCGGAAGGAAGCGTTTATTTGGAAATAATTCGATGTGTAACCTGTCGAAATGATGATAATAGGTAAGAAGGGCTATTAAAAAATATCAGCACATTTACTTTGGTCAGGTAAGGGAACATGCATACTTCTGAGACCATACGGACCAGTACTGCGATTCTAGTGCATATTCTGGGAGTAACACCATGGGAGAAGCTCGGGTGAGCATTGGACGGAATAAACTCACTGATGTGGCTTTTGCGTTTGACTCCTCGAACATTATCCAGAAGATCTCCAGATTTGTAGGGTTCCGGCCAGAAAATGACATGTCTGTCGTGATCGACAAAGTAGTACCCCCATTTCTCTTCCCCATCCACTTCCATATGCTCCAAAGTGAGTTCGACGGACGCATGAAAGGTGTGTGCCTTGCGGGCTTCTTTGTACGCCTCTTTAACAACCTCACCCATTGTACCCATTGTGACCGCAGATCCAGGGTCTCGAACATCAACATCGGTGAAAACTCGCTGGATGGAGATATGAATAAAGTCATGTAAGAGCTGCCACAGACGTACATCATATGAGTGATAGAAAAACAAAGCGCCTTCTGGGTGCGTGAGCGGTTCCCATCCCGACACCGGAACGAGCTCCCTGACGGCCCCTTTTAATTTCATCGAGTGCGGTGCCACCAGCATGCTTACTCTGAATAGTCCAAAGGACCTTTTTGAATCTCAAAATCTTCATTTTGATCTTGACTGTTAATATGATTTATAACGGCGTTGAGATGATAATGCGCTCAACAGATATATTTCGCATACAATTGATTCCTCTCATATCGCCTTATCTGTCCAGGTATGATGGGAGTAAAAGTGAACTGCCCGGGCGCCGCGGCATGGGGCAGCATGGTGGCAGCGACGGTGGTGTGAAAACTGGGCTCAGGCATCGCGATATAGCTTGGTGTTGATGGCACAGAAGGGATCGGGAGAGACTGGGTGTTGGAAGCTAGAGGATTCAACCCTTCACTTCGTGGTGCTTTGAGCAGCGGCACGGCGAGAGTCTCCTGAGTCTTATTCTCTTGGTCGGTCGGATGAGAGCTGAACGCTAAATCTGGTCCTCGAAAGGTTCTCTTTTTTCGGCTAACAAAGATCTGGCAGTGTCGGATTAGTCGCAGAAGGAAAGCGAGGAGGCTCGTATATGAGCGAAATATGGTATTCCTGACAGAGAGCCTCAACCAGGCGATGAACATGCGCATGTGATATCCTCCAGGCATATTGACGATCATCGAGGACGGGATTCCTGTACAAAGCACTTTGTCTGCGATACATGATAGCTTCCAGTGGCCAAGTCTCACGGACATCAAGTTACTTACTTAAGCTTCCCTCAATGTCCGGCCGCCGACCGCCCTATGAATGTCGTTCATCGATCGTGTGTACGCCCACACAGAACGAGTCTTCAAATTCAATGATGTCTCATTTGTTGATGATCCAAATCCCTGTTGTTTGCTCGTTTTACTTAATCAAGCCCCCACTACGAAAGACCACTCGTGCTACTCCACGTGCAGTAGAACATAATGCTAGGACATGGAGAAGTGGTGAATATGTGCAGCAAATAGTGTTTGGACATACACACATTGTTTGTATTGTATGATCGAGAACACGTAGGTCGATGAGAGTGATGAATCGCAGTTACCGCTCATGGTCAGGTACTCAAGCGGTGTATACATATAAACCAATGAGGGTTGGGCGCTTCGACGACAGACACAGTCTACTTATGATTTGTGGCAGAGGCTTTCTTCCCAAGGCGGCGATTGGCTGCAGAGCCAGGGTGAGCGAGATTGGCTACAGACGCTTGATGGTCAAGCATATCAGTCGACTTGTGTAGAACGTCTCAGCATTGACTTTTTCGCCCCTCCGACTTTTCGATCCAAAGATTTCGCCTCATGGAATTCCATTTTGCCGAAAATCCCACCTTCTGTGATCGATGATGATGTCGCTAAGCTCACTGCTCAAGCCGCTGTCAGTCTGACCATCGCATCTGTAGCCCTTACAACGATATCACAAATCACTCGGCACTGTTCGATCAATCCACGGAGATCACCCTCGTTATTCAGGGTATTCTATATAGAAATATCAGAGTGCCATGTAGCCTAAAATCGTCCAATAATAACTTACTTTTGCGATGCAAGATGTTCGAACCTGTAGAAGAATGCTTTGCAAGAGGACACTAGGCATGACAGCCTTTGCAGTATTGATCACCGCTATCGTCCCACTCAGCAGTGCCATGCGTTGACCATTATCGACGTCCTTGAGAGCAGATGAGTCTTTCATTGAAAGTCCGATGATGCCCATCTTCATTGATAAAACTTGGGAACAGGAAGGTCAAACTGGGTTGATCCGGGAGCCTATGAATACCAGCTGAGGGGAGCACAATTATTGTTAACGGTCATGATCTTATGCAGATCACACAGCATCGCCATTGGCCTGATACTAGTAGGATAGTATCGATACATCAGACCTAGGCTTGAGTGGATCAGTCAGTGACAATCACACTGGATTTGGAGATTGCTATGGAGGCATGCATGTATTGCGCGTGATCAACACACCGCCACAGTTGCAAGCAACCTCGTTTCGGTCGATTGGACCTTGACATGATGTGACATCCGAAACAAGATAGGAACCGGTCGGATGCTTGTCATATGCTGAAGTGGCATACAGCTAGTAACTCTGAAAAAGCAGTTCAAACCTGGATTCAAACTTTTGCGGGCGGAATTTTTACTTACTAGGAGGATTAGTGGGGTTGATGTCGCAGCTGCAGATTCCGTGTGTACAGTGAAGTGCATACCTACACTTAGTATTCGACCCCATGTGACGTGTTTCCATACAGAGGCACGTATTCCTCAATCTGTCACATCAGTAGTCGAGCGCCATATACTCAGATCAAAGAATACCTCACCAGGCACTAGGGGATTCCAAATATAGATGTCAAATTCATAAAAGGGTTCAACATGGTATACAAGACAAATCGATAGAATGAACACACTGTCCACGGTTACTACTAGGAGAACCTTTGCAACAAATGATGCACACGAAAATTCGGCGTGCAGCGTCCAGTCGGTATATATAGCAAGATCATCAAGTTTCCATCCATCCGTAAAAGTCATGAATCCTAGTTGCGGCGGAAGCGCGAAAGGAACCCGCCCTTGGGGCCATTCAGCTGGTATGCGTTATTAGTAGCACCTGCCATTCTGTCACGACGACGGCCGAAGCACACAGTGCATCCAGCCAAGAGAAGCAGGATCAGGGCTACGAATGTGAGCCAAAAACCTGTGGTAGTGTTGAGACCAGTAGTGAGCTGAGGAAAAGAAAAAACCAACCAGGCCCAGTGATGGTTGTCTCGCTTATATTTAGCGTACCCAATTCTTGCTTGACATAGGCAAAAAGAGCGATATTGATGGCAAATGCGACGAGAGTAATCAGGGCCGCGAGGAATGAGACTAGAGAAGCCACCAAGGTAATTGTGATGTGCTGGGAAAAGGATAGAAGAAGTGCAATAAATGCAACACAGCAGGCTAAGGGAGAGGCGAAGTCAGATTGCAGCTGTTTTGGGTACGGAGTACAACTGACCAACGGGGAGAGTAGCGAGGCCACGTGTCCACGAAGGACCTATAGTAACTTCAGTATTCTGTGAGTTGGTGACAGTGAGCGAGTATCCATGGCCTGTCATTCAATAAGCATAGAATTGTAGCGATATCAATAAATAGGTTTACCAGTGTTGAAACATGTGCGGCCCGCAGACAGGTCAACACAATAACCCCTGAAGGTAGTTTAGTTGTGCCATCTCGTATAGTATTGTATGATATTTACCAAATACCGAGCTAGACGATACGGTGAGGAACCATGAGTTCGGGCACCTCAAGTCAACTAAACTGCTACTCACTCTAAGTTGGGTGAATGCTTCGTTGTTGTTGCTTGAAACCTGTCCGCTGGAATGGACGCGAGTAATGTCCATGGCCTGAAAACTTGGGAGAGAGATTGAGACGATGAAAAGGAGGAACCAGGCAGAAAAGAGGAAGAAGACGCCTGGAATACAGTATGTTCTCGACATCTTCGCCAGTTTGATTGGTATTGCTTGTTTGTCGTCTTTCAAGGACTATGAACGAACGACGTCAGAGACGAAGATTAAGTGGGGGTGGGGGCAAGGTTAACTTTTATGCCAATTGCGGCGGAGGGAGGAGTGTGTGCGCCCTACAGCACTGCCACGATGCCACCTTTTGGTAACGTCATTCCGGGTTGTCGGTAATAGGTATCCACCCTCGGAAGTTTTCTGCAGATCGTCGATAATCAGCGAGCGTGAATAAGGTTATGATGGCGCTTTGTCTGCTGACTAGACACAGCCACTGAGTCCACAACACGGGCATACTTGATCAATATGGTGTATATATCGCATCTTCACCCATTGACCGTACGCGTGTCTTGAGCAGCCTCAGGTCTGATCTCGGCGTCCTACATCGAGTCTCCAGACCACCCTAGTCACGAGTCTAGTCATCGATGACGTATATGTTCAAACTCGGACTCAGGTACTATCAGGGCGAGGCGGCGAGACCTAGTTCCGACGGTCTTTCCAGGGAATCAAGATAGAAGGCTTGTATTCTTTTAGCCGTTCCTTTTTTATCTTCTATTTACGTTTCAAACCTCTAGTACTGATTTATTTCAGTTCAGACTGACTGGGACTCTGTTGTCGCACGATGGCTGTTCCTACTGCGTTTATATCCAACAAAATCATAGCTCCCTGGTAACACAATCATGGTTTCTCCGATTCCAGCTGGCAATGCTCAGCCACACATGGAGACAAGCACACGTACCCCTCTGAATCATTTCAACGCACTCACAACTGCATGCATCCTTCTCGAACACATACAAACTCTCGAGCGACTCCGTGACGAGACACAACACCGCGTGGAAGCTAAAAGACAGAGGCTGCACTTTCTCGAGGCGTTCACTCCGAATCGGAGGCTTCGAGATGCTTTATCGGAGTCCATCGTCATACAGCAACACATGCGCGACACCCCCACCCCCACACGCAGCAGTCATTTCCCGTCACCTCGCCTTCGCGGGCTATACGACGTTCATGGTCCCGGATGCATCAACCAGGACTCTCTACAAACCACAGCTGACTTCTCCCCGCTGAGTCTCGTCGGTCTTTCGATCTACGGGAGCGATCATGAAGTAGTTTTCGAACATGACGACGATGAAGCTTTGTTATGTACATCTGCCGATGAAGCTGTCGAGGATTATGCGGAAAGCAGAGATGGCTCCAAAGAATACTCTGATCAGCTCAACTTCCTCACCTCTCCTTTCCAGCTTGTTCCTTCCTCGTCCGGGATTACCCTCAAAGCCCAAGGTTGCCCACCAGTACCCGATTCCACTAACAATTTACTGATTATGTTGGCTAGAACCTGATCGGGTTTCTCCACCAAGGCAAGCATCGCACAGGTACCGATCTATCGCTCACGGAAAGAAGTCTCTATCTGGAGTGAAGGGCCAAGGGCTCATACGCCGTGGATCTTCTAAACGCACCAGCGCCGGACAATCCAGGGCAAAGAGGGCTTTACGCAGGATTTTACACCATAAGAAATCAGGCGTGGACGCCATCAAATTTCAGATGTAGGTATTCTGTCATGACTTGAATGTTTCTTCATAAGTTCTCCTGCGTATCTTTGGCGTATCGTAGTGCTTGTCTGCATCCAAATATCATGTTCGACTTTATGACAAATAAGTCTCTTGCAGATTAGGCAACTTTCGACGAAACCGTACATCTGATGCTCGCCGTTTGGTTGGCAGAACTTAGTCGTACGGGTATCAAGGTTGTGCGGCTCACATACCCTGTTATCACTCGGCGCTTGTTCTGTTCCCTCAACACATAGATAGGTCGTGTTTGCATGGGCCAGCGTTTGAAAACCGGATGAATATTCAAGATAGTACTTGGCGTAGACTCACGAGAATTAAATAGGAAATAGAAGAAGGGACAATTTAATCCTGTGATACGCCTTTAGAACATCTTGAGGCGAGCGTGAAGATGTGTAATCGATGTCCCAAAGATGCCCAAGCAGTGGGGAAGCGCACTTTCAAGCTTCAAGCGCCAGATAACCGAAGTGGCCCGCCGGTTGAGGAATTGTCGATGAAATCTCAAGAGGTATTCGAGGTAAGTGAAGATGGGCCTGTTTATGATCGGAGTCACAATTGCGCTCAAGGGACCAGTGTCAGTGCTTCGAGAATGCCACCTGCGCCGGGAGAAACCTTGCTTGACCTAAATAATTGTTAAGTTAGTGTTCTGACCTGGGACTCCGGGAGACTGATCAGAGTCCGACGAGGCTGTTCAAAGTTCAAAGGACAGAACATCACGTGATCTCGATCATGTTCTTCAGCCGGAAATTGCCGATACATCTTGTGTTTCAAGGAGGTTGCAAGAACTTCGATTGACCTCGAAGGGCACTTGTCCGTTTTGCCATTGGCGGTTGTTCAAACGCAGTACAGAACGACAAATCGGATTTCATTTTGTTCCCCTTACCGCTTCTGTTTACTTATAGAGCTCAACAAACAACAGGGTTCCCACTTCTTGCGATGCGCGAAGCTGCTATTCTAGAATGGCAAGCTCGGAGTCCGCTCATCATGATAGTGTTCATGGTAGCTGCGACAACTTGAATATGTCACCTCTTGCGGCAGTGCATGACTATCGATTGACGATATTCTGATACCACAGTGACGTACCACTAGACTATTGTCTTCATCATGATTGACCGTACTGATTCCTTCAAGGCAGTGTCACGGTTGCTGCGGTCCGTTCCAGAACCATCATGGTTCGAAGCTAACCGGTCCATTTTGTCTGTGTTGATTCTCGATATCAGTACCAGACCGCGGCAGGCCGAGTGCAGGATCTCTAACAATCTCATGTATGACTCCTACAATCGTATCAGGCAGAGCGTCGGATAAGCGGCCATTGTGGGGTATCTCACGCGCCCAAACATCGTAATGACTTGCGGGACCTTTCCCTTTTGTCTGTCGAGCTCCACGGACCACACGTAAACAGAAGCCGTGCCGTGAAGGGAACAAAATGAAATCTGGTCTATGAAAGTATCAGTAAGTACTTGCATCAAACTCATAATGCTGGCTTTGAATTATGCATCTTCTACTAGTATCTAGGATAATCATAAAAGTCATCTCAATTGCAAAACCCTGGCAATCCCCAACCTCCATACCTTATCAATAATACTAATCCCTTCCCCCTCATGAAGTCAGACTCCTTGCCTCCGGGTCGCACAATGAATTCTGATACCCACATGCGAATGGGACATCCTAGTGAGTCTCTGTCCTCTACACCGTCATTGACTGACACCCTAGATTTCAGTTGTCTCTTCATTGATTATCTTCTGCAGTATCATCGTGGTATGTGCACGTTCTATTTCAACAACAGCGAGATAATGACCCCCTGTGGTAGCTTTCAATCTCAGCCTGGCTCACATCATGTTTTACTGTCGACGACAACTACTTCAGTCTAGCTGAACGAGACCGCACTCGTTTTCTATTGTTTACTTCAGGATGGACGATCGTATTCTCCGTTCTCTACATGCTTTTCTTCTTTTATCTTCCAGGAAGTGTTTTGGGTAGTGTGGGATCTCATATCGTCTTGTACGAAGACTCTCTTTGACATGGATGGTCGGACATGCTGACAAACTCGTTGCAGCCTGTTTTTAACATTTATCTTCTGGACCTCGGGTGCTACAAGTATAACTACAGTTCTCGGTGCAGAACTGAATAACAAGTTCGTAACATTTTCTTGCTATTCACCACTCACCTCTCATCTTCTTAGTACCCAGAGAAATATCATATATCTTGATCAACTCAACGCGCTACAAGGCTTTGCTTGGGTCACTGAGTACGTGTCACTGATACATGTCTATGGCTTCCTTGTTCATATTCTCACTAGGGCTCTTGTAACTTTCGCATTAGTAGCTGTGCTCATCCGTGGCATCATCGCAACCCGTCCAGGTTCAGACCATCACGACAATTTTGACGATCGTGACAATATCATAGTACGATTGAGCAAAGTGCCGATTCGGAGCCTGCCGGAGAGTCATCCCCCGCACTACTAGTATGCGTGCAACTGAGCGAGAGTCGAGACGCCTTTGATTTTGTCGTTCTATTCGAAATTCGACATGACCCTCCGGGCGTCCATGCATCACTTCTATGTTCAATTTATCTTTCTTTCTATCCATATTTGTTTCTTGTCACTTCCTTGCCACCCCAAATCCAGCGGATATTGCTGTTACATGTCTTTGCACGTCGCATTTACTTCGTAATGACTGCTTGCCTGAGCACACACTGCCATACACTTATACTTTTGAATTGCATGACCGAGCTATGCTGTATGCCTGCCAGGATGTACCCGCTTATGTAATGTAGATCGACATTTGAAAATATTGTCGAAAGCATTATCGACATCAATTCATCATGGCCATGCAATGTATACATTGTAGTGATTGTGGAGTACAGTCGTCTCGCGCAATGCTCTGCACCTTTTGCCAAGTTCTGCTTACGGAGTCAGCCAACTGCCTTGTTTTATCAGGTTTTGCCTTGGCGAATGGCCAGGAACATAGGATGGCAGTGCGCTACTAATAGTGATTCGCCAATCTTGTTCCAACCACACGTAAGTTAAGTACTCACTATACATAATAGATGGCTGAAGCGCTGATGGCATTAAGCTTGTGGCTAGTGCTGGGTTTGAATTTTGCACCAATAAAAAAAATCCTAAGCTTACTGTTGGTAAATTTTCTTATGAACTAGTAGTAGGCATGCCACTTGTCGTCCATCCCTCAAGTCGCTGTGACGTTTGCCTTGATCCCTATTCGACCTCCTCAGATCTTGCTACTTCTCCGCATACAATTGAGTGTGGTCACATCTTCTGTTTCGGGTACGTCTGATTTTCTACCAGCTTGCGCCCAGCAATAATATCTATTTCTCATCTCATATCCTCTTCAATCTCAGGTGCCTTCACTCCTTAAACACAAATACATGTCCTCTCTGTCGCGAACCGTTCGATCTAGATGGTGTCAAGAGACTACATATCGGAAATCCACTCGAACAAGATAATGCTGAACGAGACAATGCCGAACAGGGTGTTGTTCCCAATCGTGCTGATTTTCTTCTTCGTCGGATATCTCTAGTCTCAGGCGAAGGTGTCCCCGAAGTCGATGCCGATGAAGTAGTCTCCGAAGTACAGGAATGGCTACAGTCTCAACCGGGTGACCCAAATTCTGTGAGTCTCTTTTCATTCTGCAGGCGCATCACAAACGCGATGTATACCTATGCTTGCTGTCAGTACCTGACCCAATTCTCATCAAATTTCTCATATGCGGCATTTTTAGCATATACCACTTCGAGCCGCCTTAGACTCCCTCCAGCGATATAAAGTTCTTCAACGTGAGAGCGAGCGTGATAAAGCAGAATGTCGTCATCTTCGCGACCAGCTTCGCAACAGCACACTGACCACAGACCATGGCTCCAGAACATCTCGTGCTGTGGAAGACAATCTCCTTGCTAAGATCGAGGAAATAGAGACTGAACGTGCCCTGTGAGCTGCTCCTCATAAGCAATGAATATTTTCTAAATGATTTCTCCGCAGAGAGGTGATCATTTGGTTCAACAGCGTTTATGTTGAACTTAACTTGAATACACATAGATGTCGCAATTGCGATCTCAGTTGCAAAACCTCCACAATCCTCGACCTCAATACCTCGTGATAAATACTAATCCCTGCCCCTCTCAGCTGAATTCCTTACCTCACACAATGGCTTTAGATACCCACAGGCGAATGGGACATCTGCACCATCATTGGCGGACACCCTGGATTTTAGTTGTCTCTTCGTTAATTATTTTCTGCAGTATCATCGTGGTATGTGCCCGTTCTATTTTCAACATTAGTGATATAATGACCTCCTGTGGAAATCCTGTGGTAGCTGTCAATCTCAGCCTGGCTCACATCGCGTTTTACTGCCTACCACAACTACTTCAGTCTAGCTGAACGAGACCGCACTCGTTTTCTATTGTTCACTTCAGCATGGACGATCGTATTCTCCAGTCTCTACATGATTTTCTCCTCTTGTCTTCCGGGCAGTGTTTTGGGTAGCGTGTACGTAGACTTCCTTTGGCATGGACGGTCGGACTTGCTGATGAATTTATTGTAGCCTGTTTTTAACATGGCTCTTCTGGACCGCCGGCGCCACAAGTATGACTACAGCTCTCAGTGGAGCGCTGGATCGCAAGTTGGTGTCATCTTCTTACTACTTACCGCTCACCTCCTATCTTCTTAGGACCCAGGGCAATTTCGTATATCTTGTTCAACTTAACGCGCTAGAAGGCTTTGCTTGGGTCACTGAGTATGTATCTTTGATATATAACCATGGCTTCCTTGTTCATATTCCCGCTAGGGCTCTTGTAACTTTCGTATTACTAGCTGCGCTCATCCGTAGCATTCTCACGGCTCGCCGTCATGGAATGCGTAGACCACTAGCTGCTTAAGCGGGCTGTTATCCTCCACTTCTTTTTCCTCGATCTACGTCATGCATTGTCATTATATTGCAGTTGTGATGACAATGCATGACTAGCATTGCACACAGCTGATATATAGTGCCCTCCATTCTCGCGTTGTCCAATAGCTTCGCCTAGTTACCAGGTAGTGTTGTGTACGAGCAATATAAGTTATGTTTTTGTGGCAAGCTTTTCGATGCAGTTACTACACTGCTCACACCGCATCTCCACACAACGCCTGAATTCGAGGAATCGGTGAATGCAAATACCGTACATATAACATCCCAGACTGAGTCAAATAGTCAAGCTTCGTGTCGGTTCCGTGTTATCACTAAGTAATACGATCAAAGTATGTCTTATATGGTGTTCGTGTCACCAGTCTAAGTCGTCGTGTCATCAGACAGGAATAGAATCATAGATATGAAGTAAGACTAGTAGTAGATGGTCAATTACCTAGTGAAGTCATGTGATTGCGTATTTCTTTTTGTCAATTGACCCCTATATAAAATTTCACTTCTCTCACCGTAACCGTTATCATCATGCTTGGGCTCGTCATAAAGACGGATACTCTCCTCAGACCTCTCAAAAAAACTCTGCCGTTAGAAAGTCCTAACTTACTCTGCTCAAACATCTCAAAATTCGTGCCATCGTTGCTCTCGCCGCTGAAACTCGCAAAACTCAGCCATGTGTTGAGACCCCTTGTCTTCATCCTCTTTCGCCTATGCTGCTTCATCATGCTGTTCCGGCCAGTACTCAATCATATCATATTGCACAAGCTCGGCCAAGTATTTAAATGGGCGCTGTTCTTCAATTCGCCCCAATATCTCATGGCCCTGTTCAAAATCCTCATGCTGGCGCTCGTGACCGCTGTCATGTACAATCCCGGTGCTACAGTAAAATCTATCGCTTTTATATACGCTGCTTCAATTGTTATTATGCGACTGACTCTGCGTCTTCTTTTTCGTGCAGGTTTGTTGACGTTCAAATTCATCGTCCTGCTTGCACGAATCGCTTGGCACATTTGTCTACGGAGATTGGAATATATATGGCGCAAGTTGAATCATATTAGACGTCCCTGGATGACTGGCGTGTCCTTGGTAGAATGTACCCCGTGTGTGGATGTATAGAGTGTACACAAACGATTTATTCGCTTTCCACGTTTTAGATGGTTCGAGGATTCGCCGCCTATGGGGATATAAAGCTGCCAGCCGGCCAAGGTTGGACACACAATCATCCGACGTTTGCACCTATGTATTCCGACGCAGTCAATCATGAGGGCTTTGACAGAACGAAACGATAGAATCAGACACACGGTAACATCTATGATGCCATCCTGCCCGATACCCAAGGGTGATATGCGATGACCACATACAGATAAGCACTCAATTCATCACGCAGCACAAGGTCGCCGAAAGAGTGAGATGAGTTCCCAACCGAAACTACATCCACGCCACCTCGCATCCAAATTCTTGGATCAAGATATGAATTGATTCTAAAGGACGAGCAGAAGCGTCAAAACCTGGTCACATGTGAAAGAAGGGAGGGCTTAGTATCTACCTTGTAAGCAAATACGATGCACCGTAGGCCAGCAGGGGAAAGGTGAATACTAGTGTTTCAGAGAAGTCGCAAAAACGGTCCGATGATAATGACCTAATGAGTGCCGTAGGTTGTTTGATCAGAGCAGGTATACAGAGCCAGTCGCGCTATGGGAGCCAAGAGGTCGCTGAGAAACACCACATCTGCTTCAGCTCAACTTTCGTTGACGCTTGAGACTTTCCTAGGCAGTGAAGTACTGCAACGAGCCTGTGGAAAGCACCCCGAGCCAGCTATGGTGGGAGACAGCATGATCATCCAATGGGCTAAAAATATATTTGACACTACGGTTGACGCCCCTTATTCGGAGCGTCTGCAAATTTGCTAGCGCTGAGCAGGCCATACCTTCCAGACCCTCCTCAGCCTAAGTTCTTGCCGGTTATGGATGGTTCGGAAGATTCTGGGCGACGGCGATATCCTTTCTGAAGTTTGAAATGGTTTGGACTCTTGAACCTGCATACCTGCTAGTTTTCCTAGTGCAACATCGACAGCGCCTGGCAAGGTGGCTATCAGTATGAACCTTGCTTTACCCGCAGATACCAGCAGAGGTCGATCTCAACCATTTTAAATATCCGGTCTTTGATGGAATTGACACCGCAAGTCCGAACATCACATACCCAAGCTCCTCGCTCTCGTCGTTCACGTGCGTCGGCGAACAGTAGTGACGCGCCACCAACAATATGCACGTTGTTTCCTGATTGGAAGCGCAATATAAATCGCATTGCTCAAAGCCTGGCACGTATTCGAACGTTCAACGTTCATCACCTATCCCGTGGCGTTCAATGCGTTTTGCGGTACTGCTGGTGTGCTGGTTCATTTCTACATGAGTTAGAATTTGTCGACCATACCTGAGAAGAGTGCACTTACAGGTGGTGTCTATAGCAGAGGCGGGCGTGCAGAATGAAAAAGGGACAAGATTTAAGATGTCGAAGTCAGAAAGCAAGAGAGCAGTGGAACGAAGTGAAGGCAGCCAGGAATAACGCCATGAGATGGGATTAATGATGAGCTGATAATACGCGCGAACAACAAGCATGCATGAAGGGGGCACCACAATATAGTTATAATATGCCCAGATGATCACCACTCCATTATGAATCACGATACTCCTCCGTGCGCTGGGAACCTTTCCAGTCACCACCGTATGAGTTTTTGCGACGAGGACCTTTCTCCCTCTGGTTGAATCTCCGCTTTTGTCCCTCCGGGTTACTCCTGAGGTCAGAAGCAGCACCGAGACGAGAAGGCCTTGCATATTTGATGACCATCTGCCTACCCGTCAAAGGGTCCTTTGGATCTTTTATAGCCTCGAGCGCCTCTGTAGCAGTCTCGGCATCCTCAAATTCCACAAACCCGCTTCCCTTTGATTCGCCGGTGATTTTGTCCCTCACTAGACCCGAGCCCAGAGTCAGACACATGACAGTTCAATAAGTCAAAGCGCACGCACGTAATCTCACACCCGCAATGGAATGTTGAAAGTTGCTGAATATCTCGCGCAAGTCGTCCTCCACCCCACCAAACGGACGAATGTACAGCGTGTGGTAAGGTTCGCGCACAGGCTCCTTCTGGACTGCAGCATGGTCAAGGTGGATGTCGCGGTTCATGATATATATTGGGTCCTCCTCATCCGCCTTAACGACCTTGCAAGCATCGTCCACATTGGTAAATTGAACGTGTCCAAACCCACGGCTGGTCCCTTCTGGTGTGGTGCCTACAACACATGCCTAGTCAGCACTTCGTAAACACTTCAGTGTAGCACGGAAAACACACCCAAAGATACGCGCACGATCTCCCCGAACTCCGAAAAAGACTGTCGCAGTTCTTCTTCAGTGATAGAGTATGGAAGGTTTCCTATGTAAAGTGTTCCCGAAGGCGGAACGCTTCTCCGAAAGCCCCTTGACTTCGAGTTTTGGTCGCCAAACCGTGACTCTTCATCACGCAGCGCTAACGACGTTGACAATGCCCGCTGCCATTGTAATGGCATCGACACTTTTCCAGAGCTGGCATGGCGTAACAGAGCTAGCGACGAATGTGACGCACGGGCCCCGAGAGATACAGAGAACATCCTTGACTGAGCTAAAAGGGCTTTGGAGAACATGACAGAGAATGTAGTACAACGAATTTTCTTGTACTGAGCTCAAATTTGGCTCAAATAGAAAATAACTTGGTCACTTTGTCACGCGACGCGCACCGTTACACGTGACAGTGAGCCGGCTATAATTTTTTTCAGATGTTTTGCTTATAATGTCAAGCTTGTGTATTAGTCATTATGTTATTGAGAAAACAAATGCGACAGCCATATCGACAGGAAACAAAGAACAGAACTAGTAACTACTATGTGCACAAGATGGTCCCCCTATTGCACCAATGTCCTAGATCATAGTGTATGTACAAAGCGCGCTCTTATAGACGCTTCAACGCTTTCTTACGTTTCTCTGTCCCGGAGCTGGCTGAGGCTGCGGATCGCTTGACGGCTTTAGTTGTGGCAGCAGCAGCTGGGCCCGCAACATTGGAATTTGCAGTCCCAAGCGGAAATAAGCGCTCCTTGCCGTCTTTGCTAGACACAGTACTCGCAGAGAGTGATGAGGGCAATGTGTTCGCTTGTGATGATTGGAGAGGTTGCGACGGTGGCGTAGGAGAGGATTTACGAGGCGATGATGCAGATGTTGGGACAGGTAGCGTGATATGTGGTGGCGGCGGCACCACAGCTGGTGTTGGAATCGAAACCGGTATCGATGTCGTGGATGATTCTCCCTCTTCCTCAGTGGATGGCGTCTGAAATTCGGGAGGTCGTATGCGAGGAGTGGCATGAACACTTGTTATAAGCTTCGCGCGGGAACAGTACGCGTCGTAGTCCTCTAAGAGGAGCTTCCCTGCTTCCTCGTCGAGGGCACTCTCGGGATTTGGATAAATAAGGAGGCATTTGATTGTCACGAGAATGTGACCGATGCCATATGACGGTTGCCAGTCCTTCTTCAACGTGTTCACACAAATCTCTCCCGCGGAAGAGACGTTTGGGTGGAAAATCTTGGTTGCAAACCAGCCTATGCCGATGGTATTTGATAAATGTAATCAGACAACTAATAATGACGCGTACATTTGGGGGGTGCAGTGGGGAATTCGTGTGTAAATTGGAACCGCACCCTGAAATACCCGCCTGCGTACGGTGTTTGCTCTGTGGTATAAGATGACTTGATTTATGGACGCGTATTTCAGTATGCAATAACTCACCTGGTCCCTCGACGATTCCTGTGAGGTCGAGCATATTCTCCTCACTCGTGACGACGCGAATGCCCTCCGGAGGATTGTTCTTCAACTCGGTGATCTCGCGCATCAAACGGCGCATGGCCGTGGGTGTTAGGGACTGTAAACCAATAGAATAAACATTACAGCTGCATCAAGCAGCACGTTCAACATACGCACCATGGCAAAGTAATAAGGTATTGTTGAATAGAATTCAGATGAAATGTGGCTGACCTGAGAGAATGGTTCGAAAAGAAGGAGCAGTGATGACAAATTCGTACTCCGACCCTAACCCTAGTCTAGGGAGAAGAATTGTTGCCGCAAGTACTATGTGTGAGTTCGCTTTCAGGGAAAACCTCCTTTGCAATGGGAAACTCCCGAAAAGTCACCTTGCTTGCAAGGTCAGATGCCAAACCGATGATTCTGCGGATCGTCCACCGTTACAAATTATGGCATTTTCCTCATTCTCTGTTCACAGTTCTCACTCAGTTGTCTATGACGACCTGCCCTACAAACAAAGCATCGCCGGCGACGGCACCTAGTTTCAAACTCGCATTGAAAACAAGGGAATTCCGCTTTCGTTTGAGGTGACTGTGCAGTGCGTTCCTTATTACTAATCGTACAACTCAGTGGACTGGCACGAGCAAGACTACTAGGCACGATCGAGATAAATTCAAACATTTACATTGCTCGGACAGTATGAACATTTAACTATACTGATTGACTCCGAACTAGGTGGTGCACCATCAACCATGATATGATGCGAAAACAGAGACATGACTCACTATCCCCATGTGCCGCTCGAGCTGCCGGCTCAATTTCCAATCGACTACGAAGGCTGGCAGGTGTATCACTGGCACTGGGTGGGTCATTGTGGTTGAGTTCTGGTTGTACAACGGCCTGCTCATACTCACGATATTATAGGAACAAAAGTAGGAAGGACAACAATCGGTGTTCCAATTGCAAGGATCATACTGCTTCGAACATGCACTGACCAAGATAGATGCTGTCAAAGCAACAACAACAGCGGGGAGGGATAAACGCATTTTCTGTACGAGATGATATGGAATCTTCTGAGGGGGCTCTCGGATGATATCACTGAGGATGGGGGAATACTATAGGACAACGGCCAGTTTTTATATCATGCATATATTACCAACGGGCATGATTCTGATCATTTTGGTATAATTGTGTTTGCTGTCAGATAGCACAAATTTCGGCAGAACCTGCAGGAGCGTGTTCCATTGGTCGCGCGCGCGCACGGCCATCGAATCATAACCTGCCTGAAGGCATCAACGATTCTCTTCTTTGTAACCACAGAACGCTCGCTTGAACTACGATTTCTCGTCCCGATCTCTCACTAGCACTCGTGGCTTCATCATCTGAACCTGGAAGTGTGCCATGTGTGAGAGGTACAGACTATGCATTTTCAATGTAGGCTCGGGACCAGCCATGTAGTGCTACATGGTTACCGTCGACTATCAATCACACGTAAACTTTCGTTCGCGCACTGCATAGAGTGCTATACCATATCTTTCTCGCTTGGCGCTACAGCACTAAATTGAAATTGAATCCTCCAAATGATACCATTTGCTCCGTATTATCCTCCACCACCACTGCAGCATGATGCTCTGCTGTCGAAATCTTTAGCATGGACAGCGGACCCTCGTAGCCTCGGCAAGGAGGGCAACTATCTCCTTGCTGAAAATACTCCGTGTCATAATGGTGACGGTCAACGACCTCCTGCTACAAACCATCTCAGAGACTCAGAAAAGCTTAGCATGGCCACTTGGAGGGATGGATTTTTCCGTAGTGCACTAGCACAAATTCTGAATGTGTTAGAAGCCGATGCCTTCTTGTAAGCAAAGATACGAGAGCCTTGGGTTGAAATAACTTCGGATGTTTGGTCAATGGTGCCTTTCGAGACAAGATCAAGGCGCGCGAAAGCTTCGAGTACTCGCTGGAACTGTATCGTTGAAAGCGTGTTTGTAAAGTCCGTTATTCAAAGCAGATACTAGTATGCATAGTACATAGATGCAGCAAACCGGCTATATGCGGCACAAACGCCAAATTTCGAATTCCGTGCTTCGTTTCTCCGAGATCGACCAGTCTGACACTACGTCAAAATTCTCCACTCTCACTAGGTTGATGGCATTGATCACCCATGCCCAGAGTGCCAAGACCGGCCAGATTTGGGCCAGATTAATCCGATTTCAGTCTAGCACGTGAATGACGATCACGTGACTGCTGTACAGGCGCGCTTAGCAGACGACGAGCTCACGCCCGTTGTGCCTTCGGCACAAATCGAAGGAGCGCTACGCGCTCCTTCAGGGGAGAAAAATGAGTGTTGTTCCTTCGTCACAGGAAGCCAAGGAGGGCTACGCCCTCCTTTGGCTTCCTGGCCTCAGGCTGCATCCTAATAAATTGTGCATTTTGAATGATTTTGAAATATATTTATGAGCAGCTTTTCAAAGAACTCAAAAGTACAATCTATCACACCACATAAAAGTACATAAGATCAGTCAGTGCTATGTTCTTTGAGCAGGATTTTGACCAATGTAAAAAATACCAAATATGTAACAGTATCATTGAATGTATTTGTTTTCCCATTTTCCCCTGCCTCCCATCTAGGGATCAGCAGGGGTATGGGAAACTTGAGGGTAGGGGTAGGGGTTTGGATCTGAAGACCCCTGTACCCCTGGAAATATATCCCCAAATTGATTACCATAGGAGTGATGGATAAGTATAAAATTTTGAAGTTGTACATTTGCCTTCAAATGGTAATATATGTGATTGGAAAAAGTGTTACCATGGGGTATACCCATGCTAATCCCTACTCCCTGCTCCCTGCTCCCTGCTCCCTGCTCCCTGCTCCCTGCTCCCTGCTCCCTGCTCCCTGCTCCCTGCTCCCTGCTCCCTGCTCCCTGCTCCCTGCTCCCTACTGCCTACTCCCTTCTCCCATCTCCCGTCTCCCTACTCCCGTCTCCCGTCTCCCTACTCCCGTCTCCCTACTCCCGTCTCCCTACTCCCGTCTCCCTACTCCCTACTCCCGTCTCCCGTCTCCCGTCTCCCGTCTCCCGTCTCCCGTCTCCCGTCTCCCGTCTCCCGTCTCCCGTCTCCCGTCTCCCGTCTCCCGTCTCCCGTCTCCCGTCTCCCGTCTCCCGTCTCCCGTCTCCCGTCTCCCGTCTCCCGTCTCCCATCTCCCGTCTCCCTTCTCCTGTCTCCCGTCTCCTGTCTCCTGTCTCCCGTCTCCCATCTCCCATCTCCCATCTTCCCAATCTCTCTGTTTCCCATCTCCCGACCTCCTGATCTCTCTGTTTCTGTCACGAGTTCCAAATACAAACCATTATTCGTTCCTAAACTCTAAGTCCTTTAAGCGCCCAGTCACAGCGCCTGTTCCTAAGAATGTGTTTACTGTTGAAGAAGTTCCTATTATTGCGTCTATTGTAGAATTACCAGAGTCACGTGACCTATCGGACAATGCCGAAGATATTGATGTCATGCCTCGCGACACTCTTGGAATGTTCCAGAGTCTTACTGCGGCTGCGGCACATGTTATGACATCATAGTTATATATAGAATCGTACGATACCTTTAATTATTCTGATTGGTTAGTTAGTTCATACTCAGTTTCAGTCTCAGTTTCAATATGTGTATATAGGTAGCTCGTCGTAGTCAGTAGTTCTTTAGTTCAAACCTCTTGTATCTCCAAGTGAGCAATACCAAGACGTACCTGCTGCCTACTTCCTCTGCGTGATTATTCTTTGTTTGAGTCCTAGTCTCTGCCCAGCGTTAATTCGTTATTGGGTTGTGACATTAGGTTTGAACTATAGGAGACTCCGACTCCCGCGTTACACTCTCGCACCTCTTTCTCTTTCGCCTGGTCGTGTTGGTAATCACCACACCATCAACCGAAACAGAACCGTTATACTTTTGCCCGGCTTAACCGCCGCGATCCTTTGTTTCATCCCTTTGCTCATTTGAGCACAATTTTCATACCTATCATCTTTCGTAGTTAGTAGTCCTATACCAGGCCCTGTCTTACCGCAGCCGCCAGTATACGGAGGTGTTCACGACATTAGGCGTGTCACTGCAACTTTGAGTGCTGGCCCAAAACCCTGCCTGCTCAACGTTACTATAGTTTCATTTTACCTATCCTTTCTTCATACGCACGTAGGCATTCATTTCGAGTCAATAGCGGAACTGTCTAGACGACAAACCGTGCTTTCGACCTACGAGGATTTAGCGACATACCCTAGTGAGACTCGCACTTGTAAGCTTCGGCTGGAAGAGTGATAACTTGTCCTAGGCTTGTACCCTCAGAACGGAGATTGCATTGTCCCTAGTTTTTCCCACTCGATCGAGTATAGTTACGTACCATTTTTAGTTAGTATTAGGGAAGCATCGGTTGGGTTGATAAAAGAACCCTTCGATCCTGAAGTACGTGGTAGATCCGATCAGATATCGGGGACCGCTTCAGTTTTCCATTACATAAACTTTCATCTTTTCACCATCATTCCCTTTCGGAAGAGCCCTTACGAGCAGCTCTTCAACAGACATCAGTGAATCGGGTTCCAGAACACAACTGGCACTATGTCTGAATTACCAAACTCTCCCACGCAGCCTGCACAGACGGTGATACTACCATCTAGTCCACAAGAAATTGTTGACTACATTCACATGTCACTTGCAAACCAAGCGGACAGCTTCAGGGTCAGAATAGCGGAACTAGAAGCCAAAAACTTAGCTCTAGAAGAAGCAAACAGACTCCTGGGCGTACGTCTAGAAATGCAAGAAGACGAGACCGTGAAAATACAGTCTCAACAACCATCATTCGGCTCTGCAGGAGCTAGCCTATTATCATCGAATTCCTCCCCATCCATCAAATATTCCAAGCCCCAAGACTTCACTGGAGAAAAAGACTCCATAGAACTCATGGTCTGGATATCCCAAGTAGCGCTATACACGGCGCAATGGCCCAACATCCAAGAAGGCCAAAGAATTGGAGTAATGCTCTCCTTCATGAAAGGCACTGCAGCCAAATGGGCGCAACCTTACATTAACAAACTTGGAAAGACCGGAGATGAGAAGTTGACCGTGGAAAAATTCCTGGAAGACTTAGAAGCCATGTGGGGGCAAGAGGATCGCGAAGGAAAAGCGATTAGGGAACTAGAATCCCTTAGACAAGGAGCTTCCTCGGTTCCAGAGTACGCAGCCGCTTTTAGACAAAAGGCTGCACACACCTCCTTTTCCGACTACGACCAAAGGCAGAAGTTCAGAATGGGACTTCAAGACCGCGTCAAGATACAGCTTGCTCATGTCCGTTACGAGGACAAAAACACCATGAAGAAACTGGTGGAACATGCGATCCAAATCGGACGCAACTTCGAAGAGCTAGACGCGGACAAGAAGAAGACGACCTGGTGGACCCCTAAACAAGGCCCCAGGACCCCTGAATACAAACCTGGTCCGAGCAGGGAAAGCGACGCTATGGACGTCGACGCCAACAAGCAGCGAGGTGCTCCAAAACCTCAAGGAAGGACTGGATCCTTCAAATGCTACCGCTGTGGAGGCGAAGGCCATATGGCTAGAAACTGCAAAGACGCAGTCGCACCAAAGGTGCAGGTGAAGGCTACTACAGTGCCAAAAGAAGAAGACCCTATCCCGAGTTGGTTCAAAGCCTGGGTCAGCTCCAAGGAAGGCAAGGGTTTTTAGAGGGGTCGAAGTCAAAGTCTGCGAACTTAGACCCGAACAATCGTTTCTCCATCCTATCTACGTTCTCGGATGTATCAGAAGTATATATTAGATCCAAATCTGAACATTTTTACATTCCGATCACGTTGAAGGGAAAGAACCGACAAGCAGATGTGAAAGCACTGGTAGATTGCGGTGCATCAACATTATTTATTAGCGAGAAGTTTGTGAAAAAGAACGAAGTCCGGTGTCATAAATTATTAAGGCCCATTCCGGTTAAAAATATTGATGGCTCGTTAAATGCCGCTGGATCGATGACTCATTACGCAGATCTAGGTCTAAAAATTGGTGACCATGTTGAAGACCAAGCAGCCTTCATGGTTACGGACCTAGGAAGCGATGATGTTATTATTGGCATAGATTGGCTAAGATATCACAACCCAGAAATAGATTGGAACGCTGGACGTTTTGCACTTTCTCGTTGCCCGGTTAAATGTATTACTAAAAAAGAACAAAGACAAAAAAATAAAGAAAAAAGAAAAGAACAAAAAAAGATAGAAGAAGTGCCAGACCTGATTCCCACAGAAGAGGATGACGAAGAAGACATGGCGATGAAGAGGGCGACAGTTGAGGAAATAGAAGACGAAGAGTATCCTGGAGAATGGATCAAGTATAAAGCCTCGGTTGCCACGGAGCAGAAGGTTGCAGAAGAAGCAACGAAGGTGAAGAAATCGGTCGAAGAGATGGTTCCCGATTGGCTTCACGAGTACCTGGGAGTTTTCTCAGAAGAAGAATCTAAGCGCTTCCCTGAAAGAAAGAAATGGGATCATGCGATAGATCTTAAAGATGATGGTGATCTTCCGCCGAATGCGAAACCCTATCCCTTATCACCCAAGGAGATGGACACTTTGAAAGATTGGTTAAAAGCCGAGACTGCACTGGGACGTATAAGAAATTCACAATCTCCAGTGGCAGCACCTTTCTTCTTTGTGGCCAAAAAAGATGGCAAGTTAAGACCGGTGATGGACTATAGAAAGCTCAATGAGAAGACGGTTAAAAATGCATACCCGCTACCGAGATCTCAAGATTTGATTGATGCTTTAACCGGCGCCACGATGTACTCCAAGATGGATGTAAGATGGGGGTACAATAATATTCGCATGAAAGAAGGAGATGAGTGGAAGGCGGCCTTCAAAACGCCGTTTGGTCACCATGAACCAACCGTGATGTACTTCGGTTTAACAAACTCCCCTGCCACGTTTCAAACTATGATGAACGAGATATTCAGAGATTTAATTGATGGAAAGACCGTAGTTGTCTATATCGATGATATCCTCGTGTTCACGAATGGCAATAGGGAGCAACACCGAAAAGTTGTACGAGAGGTACTAAAACGACTAAAAGAGAACGATCTGTATCTGAAGCCTGAAAAGTGTAGCTTCGAACAGACAGAAGTCGAGTTCCTCGGGTTGATAGTGGAGAAGGGTGGTGTTCGAATGGACCCTGTGAAAGTAGAAGGAGTAATGAAATGGCCTGTACCCAAATGCGTCAAAGATATTCAAGCATTTATGGGCTTTGCCAACTTCTACAGAAGATTTATCTTCGGGTTTTCGGACATTGCCAGACCAATGAATGATTTATTGCGGAAGGATGTCAAATGGGACTGGACGGAGAAACAGCAAGATGCTTTTGATGAACTGAAGTCAAGGTTTACATCAGCTCCGATCCTAGTAATGCCTGACGTTGAGAAGAAAATGAAAATAGAAACCGATGCTTCTGATTATGCAACTGGAGCGGTTCTATCTCAACTGATGGAAGATGACCTGTGGCACCCCGTGGCGTATTACTCTAAGTCAATGAACGATGCAGAAAGAAATTATGACATCCATGACAAAGAGTTACTCGCAATCATTCGAGCGTTGGAGGAGTGGAGGCACTATGTGCAGGGAAAACCTCACCATGTGGAGATCTGGACGGATCATAAAAATCTCGAGTACTTTATGACGAGCCAAAAGTTGACAAGAAGGCAAGCCAGATGGAGTCTGTTCCTGGCGGAGTATGAATTTACGCTCCAACATAAGCCTGGTGTAGTCAATGATAAGGCCGATAAGCTTTCTCGGAGAGAAGACCACAGAGGGGGGATAGAAAACGACAATTCTGATCGTATTTTGTTAAAACCGGAGTTTTTTACTGTAAAAGCTGCTAAAAGAGGTCAAGTTCTAGTGCAAGGAGAAAAACAATTGCTGAGAAAGATAAGGCAATGCACAGAACGAGAGCCCGAAGTCGCTAAAGCGCTACAAACGCTAAAAGCAGCACCGGTACAATTACGTAGAGGAGTCGAAGAATGGAATGTGGAGGATGGATTGGTGTTATTCCGAGGACTGGTTTACGTCCCCAACGATAAAGAGATCCGCCGAGAGATATTGGAGCTGTTTCACGACTCTCCACCGGCTGGACATCCTGGACGTGCCAAAACCTTAGAATTGATTTCCAGAAATTATTGGTGGCCTTCAATGATGAAGTATGTCCACGATTACGTAGATGGCTGTGATAGATGCAGAGCAACGAAGATTCACCCAACGCAACCACATGGTCCGCTTAAACCAAATGAAATACCAGCGGGACCTTGGCAATCAATCACTTGTGATTTGATAGTAGATTTGCCTAAAAGCGAAGGGTTCGATTCTATTTTTGTTGTCGTTGATCGATACACGAAACAAACACACATCATGCCTACGAAAAAGGAAGTTGACGCTCGAGGAATCGCGAAACTTTTCCTAGATAACGTATGGAAACACCATGGAACTCCGAAACAGGTGATATCGGACAGAGGAACACAATTCGTCTCCAAATTTATGGGACAAGTGTCGAAACGCCTAGGCATAAAATGGAACATGTCAACGGCTTATCATCCTCAGACAGACGGACAAACAGAGAGAATCAACCAAGAAGTAGAGCAATATCTGAGAATGTTCACGTCTTACCGCCAAAATGATTGGGTAGACTGGCTTCCGATAGCAGAATTCGCTCACAATAACTCTGTCACTGTAACAGGTCATAGTCCATTCAAAGTACTCTACGGATACGATCCAGAGTTTACTTTTTCACCAATTTCCAATTCTAAAGTACCTGCAGCTGATGAACGAGTGGATGTAATGAAAGAGGCGAAGGAAGACGCAGAAAGCATGCTGCGAATGGCGAATGAGCGGATGAAGAGATTCTACGATAGAGGAGTAAAAGACGCACCACAATTCAAGAAAGGAGATCTGGTCTGGCTCAATGCCAAAAATATCCGTCAGAAAAGACCAAATAAGAAACTCTCCGATCGACGACTTGGTCCGTTTGAAGTGCTAGAGAAGACGGGTGATGTAAATTACCGCCTGAACCTTCCAGCAAAATATCAGATTCATCCGGTATTCCACGTAGAATTACTCACTCCGCATTCCCCCTCGACCTTAATCCAAAGACTTCCACATCATCGTCCGCCGCCAGAGATCTTATCAGAAGGCAATTCCGAATGGATAGTACGAAAAGTCCTAGACTCGAGACTGCACAGATCAAAACTCCAATACCTAGTAGAGTGGGAAGGATATCCGATAGAAGAAGCGACATGGGAACCTGAGGAAAACCTTGAGAATGCACGGTTGAAAGTTCAAGAATTTCACCGGCAAAATCCGAAGGCATTAAATCCCCGCAAAATTAACAAATCGGTGTTCGAAACCCAGGAGTTTTTGGAATGGCGCAAGAAATTTATTCGTCCTAGTTTCATTCGCGATGACGCTCATCCTAGAGAGGGGGTAATGTCACGAGTTCCAAATACAAACCATTATTCGTTCCTAAACTCTAAGTCCTTTAAGCGCCCAGTCACAGCGCCTGTTCCTAAGAATGTGTTTACTGTTGAAGAAGTTCCTATTATTGCGTCTATTGTAGAATTACCAGAGTCACGTGACCTATCGGACAATGCCGAAGATATTGATGTCATGCCTCGCGACACTCTTGGAATGTTCCAGAGTCTTACTGCGGCTGCGGCACATGTTATGACATCATAGTTATATATAGAATCGTACGATACCTTTAATTATTCTGATTGGTTAGTTAGTTCATACTCAGTTTCAGTCTCAGTTTCAATATGTGTATATAGGTAGCTCGTCGTAGTCAGTAGTTCTTTAGTTCAAACCTCTTGTATCTCCAAGTGAGCAATACCAAGACGTACCTGCTGCCTACTTCCTCTGCGTGATTATTCTTTGTTTGAGTCCTAGTCTCTGCCCAGCGTTAATTCGTTATTGGGTTGTGACAGTTTCCCATCTCCCGACCTCCTGATCTCTCTGTTTCCCATCTCCCATCCTCCCGATCTCCCTGTTTCCCTGTTTCCCATTTTCCCATCCTCCCCATCTTCTGTTCTCCTATCTCCTCCCATTCTCCCTGTTTCCCATTCCCAATTTTCCTGTCTCCTCACTATCTCCTGTTCTCCAGTTGTCAAGTCTCTACTTTCTCTATTTTTTATTTATTTTTTCACAACCTTTTCTCATTCATTTCCTGTCACCACATATATTTGTTGTCCCCCTGTCTGCAAAATTATATCATGTTGTTCCATTTTCAATTTTATTATTTACTGTATGCATGTAACATAAACAATTACATTACAATAAGGAAAATACTTGTATTGCGTAGTGCGCTGCTCTAATGGGCAAGTGAGTCGGCGCTCGAAAGCCACGCGAGAAAACCACGCGAGATTTCCAAAAACAGGTTTAAGCGAGGTAAGCGAAATACGCGAAATACGCGAAAGCCACGCGAGCGCGCGAACGTTTCCGAAAACCGTCGTACTTTACTTCTTAGATTCTCTAGCTTGTACTTCACTCCACTTTTCTCAATATGATCATACCTAGAGGCTACATTCGGACGTTTATCTCATGGTTGAGGCTCGTCATCAGGACCATCGCATTTCGGCCATACACAAGTATCCTCTCTGTCCTCCGGCGGGTGTTTCGACACTGTCAATCCATCATGGACGGAAAAGAGAGAATCTTTCGAGAATCAGGGCTGGCGTGGAGTTCTCAACCGGCCGCCGTCAATCAAGAGAAATCTACTTCTGTAACGCTCGCAGTACCATTGTTTGAACTCTCACCTCGGCAAAGCGACGGGTGGAATGGCGTGGCTTCTGATATCCAGCCTCCTCTGGATTCTTGTGCACCATGGATATTCCATGCCCGAGCCCTCCACCACCACCAGTATCGCTATTATCTCGCATCCTGTGGCGCCAGTACAATCTTTCGATAGTATCACTTTAGTTCCCGCAACACCTGGACAAATCAAGCGATACGATAGGATTGAATTGTACGCACATCATACTTGCCGAGTATTTTGCCTTTCTAATCCATAACTACAGTCAAGGTGATTATGCATTGTACGAAGTTCCGAAAGGTCTTTTAGACTGTTCAGAGTAAGTACGTTGGCGAGAGAGTGAACAATAAGATTGAAAGGGACTGGTAGGGAGCTCGCTCTGGTGTCTGGATGGGAACCACTTACACACCCGGAAGGCGCTTTGTTTTTCTATCACTCGTATAAAGTATGTTTACGATCATTTCTGTGTAACTTCGACTCATTTCCCACCAGAGAGTTTTTACTGATGCTGATATTCGGGCCCCTGGAATGGTGGACAACATAGGTAAGGCTGTTGACAAGGCGTACAAAGAAGTAGAAAATGCAGGCATCGACCTCGATCCATCCGTCGAGCTAGTATTGGAGTTCATGAATGGGGATCATGAAGAATGGGGCTATTACTTTGCCGATCACGACAGACGCATCATTTTCTGGTTCGAGGCCCATAAATCTAGTGATCTCATTGGTGGCGTCCGAGGCGTAAAGTGCGCTGATCATATCAGTGAGTTCTTTATGGGAAGTATCCCCCTTCGAGCTTCTTTCATTGCACCACTCCTAGGATATGCATTAGAATCACAGTACTGGTTCGTACGGCCTCAGGAGTATACCTATTCCTCACTTTGACCGAAGTTGATGCGCTGAAACTTGTGTGACAGCCTATCTTGACCTCGTGTGGTTATCCATGATGACTTTGACAGGCTACACGTCGAACTATATCCAAACAAACGCTTCCTTCCAAAAGATGTTGTCGTGAGACTCAGAGAAATTGTTATGTATACCCAGGCAGGTGGGTAAAGATTCATAAATGTTTCACGTTATACTGGAAAGTTCGTAACAGACAATATCACTTCTGACACGTCCTTAGCGCCTTTTTCTTCGGAAGAGGTTGCAAGTATGCTTAGCCTGATGGATCCTCTCATGGGTAAATCATTAACTGATATAGATGGTCGTTGTTGATTAGTTATTAGGCAGTGCTGGCATTGAGCATGAGCATCCACATGAGCATTCTGTGTGGATTGTCGGTAAGCCTGAGCATAGAAGGCCAGTTGTTTACCTGATTTTGTGTACTTTCAGCTCGATTTATGGAAGAATTCTGTGAGTTCCGGTCGATTGGAAGTGCATCACGCTTCCTAATTACTTTCATAGGCAACGTCAAATTTGTGAATTTCTGTGGACAACCGGGCGCTCGGCTTAACGCAGACCAGTCCCTGTACGGAGATACCAATACCCGCTCGAACAATATCCTTCTTCGCGTCATGAATTGCATACTGTTTGGATCCCCTAATGCTTACAACAAGGTCCTTCGAAAGATATGGGTCGATTCCACCATCGTTCAACCGCGGTGGAAGAATTTTATCAATAGACTCAACAATGAATGGAATGGATACACAATATTCGTGAGTTGTATTTCTGCTCCATATTGGCAATGCAATCGATGTCCATCTCAGTCTACTGTGATGCTTGCTGTCGATATTAGCTTTCTCGCGGTACCATCTGTCGGAACTCAAAAGGCCGCGATTCTTGTTTCCTATATGTCTACCCTCTGTGCTATGGGGTCGTTAGTGGTTTCACTAGTCTTAGCCGGACAAGTCAATGACAGCCGGCGGGACTCCGCTAAAAGCTGTGGTAAGTTCTCTTTTTAATTGTTTAGTCTGCATTCTTTACAGTTTAGGCCTCGTTTATGGAAGCGATATCGGTTTCTGTGCTCGGCCTCGAAGGCCTTGCCCTCATGCTATGTCTACCATTTGCTCTTCTAATTTGGGGGTGCGTGTCCAGTTAAAGACCATGGGACGGTAGTGGCTCATTATTTAACAGAATGGCATTCTTTGCTGCGGCATTGTCCATCGTGATTTTCACTTCTAGCGTCGTCACCATCTCGATCGTATCTCCCATTTGGGTCGCTATTTTAATTCTGGCGACATGGCCGGTACTGGCTTCCAACGATGTGCACATTTCTGACCTGTTCTCTTGGATCACAAAACAGATCAAGTCACATCGCATACCATCGTGGAGCGCCACCAGGGCTCGCGTTGAATCTGACGTATAGTTTGTTGGACAACAAGACAGGTTCACACTAGATGGTAGTGCCCGACATTGACTGGCCTCGTATATATACAATATGCTGTACCTGGGTGGGGTAGAATACCCGTCTTTGGGGACGAGACCTGCATTGCAGATTTTAGGGGCAAAGATATGAGAAGCAAGCGGCATGATGCAATGACCGGGAAATTCGGACCTTCTATAGATGGCACGCGAACCTATGAACTAGCACAGGTGGGGAGGGGGAATATTCAGATCAGGATGACTCAATACAATATAGCATGTTAACAGCAAGTGAACAGCAGAGTACGGGTATATGAGACTGAGTTTAATCACTGACTGCAGCCAGATAGCTCTGTGCAAGGAATGTGTCAGCGAGGATATTCAAAGGGTCGGTGTAGAAGAATAAACTGCCGAAGAGACTGTGATAGGTGGACGGCGCCAGGTGCTTTAGCAGTCGGCAAGATACTCACCTCTCTATCTTCCAAAAAATCCCAATACGCTAAGGCAACAGCGATCCAAAAGCTCGTATCAATTCCCAATATACGCTCCTCTGCTCTGTTTATCTCGAGAAGACCCGTCACAGACGCCAAGGTGAGTAACGGTGTGCGATCGTGGAAGGTCAACAATGGCGTCGGGGTCATCGGAATAATTTGGGATATCCGATGTCCTGAACCAGGCGGTTGGGGACTAGGCCGGTTGAGTGGCGTGATCGTAAATGAGGCAGAGTGCGAAGGCCTGTTGTTTTTGAACATTGACAGCGCACGTATAGGAATGATGTCTGCTCGTCTGGTTGCGGCCCCGGGATGTGTGGTGTAGAATGCGGTGCCAACAAGAATTGTGTTGCTTCAGGACAAGAGGCGCGTTTCTGTACTGAAATGGGAGACGGGGATATTTCCTCCAACCGCGCGCTGATGCTTTGTGGTGTAGGCGGGGTGATCATGATGGAGGCCGGGGGCGGTGTTGGAGGATAAGAGTGCACTGTCGATGTGCTATCTATGGACATCTTCGAGGTACTAGGTGAGTGTATCACAGTAGAGGGGGTGTTGGTAAGACATGATAAGGACAGTGCGGCGTCTATATAATTAGGGGACGTGCGGGGAATAGGAAGAAGGGATATGGAGACGCCTGGGGGAAATGATGGTGCACGAATGCGGATATACCACCCGCGCTTTGGCTTGTGGATTGTCCAGCATATTGTCGATGTTTGATTGTGCTTCGGAGGAAATATGAATTGGTGTGATACATGAAAGATGAAAACGCACCACGACATGCTCAATGATCTCATCGTCCCCTAGGAACCTTTCCTTCATTCAAGTGAGCGGGCGGAGAAAAAAACCGCTATAATGTCGCACCTTGTACCACATGACATTGTCGTGACCCTCCTCAAAGACGTTGATTCGCAAGTCAGAAATGACGTCGGAGCTATAACAAACCAAGGTAAAATGTAGTGGTGGCATATTACCTGGACAACATTTAATTACCTCTGTATCACATATCGAGCCAGGTTGGGACTGTGGGTCTGATTCTGCATGGCTCCGACCTGTAGTTGTGATACAAGGATAGGTGCGTTTAACGCTCAACTTGAGTGCAAGGTCTGAAACGGACTACTGTGGCTGTGCAAATTTCACTCCAAGTTACAACCGTGACGGTGCAGTGCCTTTTAAATTGATTTTGAAGCAGAACTTTAGTCGTGGATGCCACCTGGGCCTGCGTTTGGATGGCTTTGCGTTCTCCACTCAGTTACAGATATTGCTGTTCGTGCAGCACAGATCAGAGCCTCCCAGATTTTTCCTGTCAGACCCGTTGTATCTCCGGAGTTCTCTTTGCGCAAGAGCAAGACAGAGGAGCATCAGTTAACGTCACAGCTTGCAGGTGATGCTCAAGCTGACCACGACTCTCCAAGACCGCGCACAAATCACGCGTTTTCTACCAACCCTCCGATTAACAATACTTGCCTGTCCCATCCCGAGGAACGGCAAGAGAAAGCGACACCATTACCACCTCGATTTGAAAAAGACATCCAGTCTGAGCAGTTTTCGCGCACTACCCATATATCTCTCTCCACTGAGCCTATCTTGAAACCTCAACTACCTAGCGATCCCAGTCTTGCGGTCATCTCTATTCCACTTGAGGTGGAGGGTTCCTTGACAATCGCGTCTTCTTCTGAAGTCACGTTTGACTCTGGTCCTCCTTCCATACCCACGAGATTTGAAAGCCTACGTCGTGAAATAGAAAGTCCTGTGCCCCTAGATTTAGAGGTGTGTCTCTAGTCCTTTCCTCCCTGCCAGTTAACTCGTTACTTATGTCCGCCTCTTGCTCATTTCCATGTGCTGCCACCCTATAGCATCCAGACGAAGCTCTATCTGCACCCATAAACTCCCCTCCTATACAATCACGCAACCTCCAATCATCCAAGGTCCCTTCATCCAGACTTGGTCGCTTATTTCATTATGGCGGTACGTCTTTCTTTACTGTCCTTTAGTGCACCTTTTGCTCACTTGTAGTCACAGGCCTTGCAGCATCACTCTCGTATGGCGCTGCTTCCGAGCTCTTACGTCGCTCTACTACATCCCATGCAAACGACACACAACCAGTCATGTTAACTGAAGCAAACATAACTCGTTTGGTATCCAAGCTCTCTCAGATGCGGGGTGCCGCACTAAAGCTCGGCCAGTTCATGAGCATCCAAGGTGCTCATTCATTGGCCATCTCTTATCATTTTGTCCACTACTAATCTTGGCGCTAGACACCCACCTCCTACCCCCAGAAGTCGATAAAATATTCCGTCGCGTTCAAGACAGCGCTCACTATATGCCGGACTGGCAGATGCAACAAGTGCTGTACACGTCCCTAGGGGAATCATGGGCCGATAATTTTACATCGTTCGATCGTATACCGTTCGCAGCTGCAAGCATCGGCCAGGTGCACCACGCTGTCCTTGCTCAAAGTCAGAGTCCATCTGGCGACGATGGCCAACATGTCGCTGTAAAGATCCAGTTCCCGAATATTGCTAACTCAATTGCGAACGACCTTGGCTATGTTAAGATGATTCTTACCGCTGGAAGCTTGCTTCCACGGGGGTTATTCCTGGATCGTACGATTCAAGTGTGTCTTCTATATTTTCCTCATACTTAGTGCTGAATATTTTTTATTCTCGATCTTGCTTCATTTCCTGCTATCCGGATAATTCACTACATCCTATCTCAACACAAAGGTAATGAAAGACGAGCTTGCTGACGAATGCGACTACTCGCGGGAGGCAAGTTTCCTCGAGCGGTATAGGAGCCCAGATTGTCTTGGTGCAGATGCACGGTTCAGGGTCCCGTGGGTGTGGCCAGGTAGCACAGAGCGTGTTCTTGTAATGGAGCATGTAGAAGGCGTCAGCATTGGAGATGCTATAGTCGGAGGTTTACCACAAGAAGAGCGAAACGAGGTGCGCGCTTCTCCTATCATCCACCATAGATTATGCATTTCTTGAAATTCATGGTAGATTGCATCGCGAATCATCGAGCTCTGCTTGCGGGAGCTCTTCCAGTTCAGACTCATGCAGACGGACCCTAACTTCACAAATTTCCTATGGGACTCAAGGGCACAACAGGTGTGTCTCATGTTGACACTTCATATTTTCTACTTCTTGAGTTGCCTGGACGAATTCGCTGACTATCATTGCAGCTGTCCTTGGTCGATTTTGGTGCAACGCGCGAGTACACGAAAGAATTCATGGACAACTGGCTGCGCCTTCTTCAAGCCGCTGCATCTGAGGACCGTATCGCATGCGCAGAATGGAGTCAGAAACTTGGATATCTCACTGGAGAGGAAAATGAAGTGCTATCTCCCCATCACTGTCCCGCGCATGTATTCACAGAACACGTTCACAGGTCATGCTCAATGCGCACGTCAGCTCCATGGTCCTCCTAGCTACCCCCTTCAAACCCACGACCTCGCAGCCCTTCGCATTTGGATCTGGGACACCGTGGGCGGACATCACAGCTCAAATACGTGATTTCATACCCGTGATGCTTAAGCATAGGTTGACGCCTCCACCAAGGGAAACCTACAGTCTGAATCGGTGAGTCTTGGGATAGATTTCCCTCCGAACAAAAGCCGGGGTTTTATCTTCAATTTTTTGCGTGCTTCTTTGTCCTCTTTTTGCTCATCGTCGGTTCTGTAGGAAATTGAGTGGGGCGTTCCTACTTGCTTCGAGGTTGCGTGCTGTGGTAGACACCAAGAAGCTTTGGGACCAAGTGACTGAACCGTACAAGTTTGCATGAGTCTGTGCTGTCCGATCCAGAATACCCAATGCACAATTTGTATGGAACACCTTAGTGCAGCGATATGCGTCGTCTGACAAAAAGTCGCTGTAATCCTATACAATAAGGAGCCGTCCTCGCAACCTCCGGTCGTTGCACAGAGGAATTGCTTTCATTCCAAAAGCAAGCGCTTATTCTTCGTTTGTCGATGCGAACTTCAATAAACAGAGTGTATCTCTACAGTGACTTTCGAGGTTGTTGATTCGGAGCGGCAACGTTGAACTTCGATGATGCAGGCCCGTAAACAATTGCGCGAAGTGCGCAACTCCTGACGATCAGCACAATTTGACCTGCGCATGTATCGCAAAGCATAAGGCTCTGATTGAAAATAGTTTTCTCGTCCTGGGCGACCTTCTACAAAGAAAACACCACTTCTGTTGTTTGTAATTGCACTGTGAATTTGGTGGAAAGCATGTACAAGCATTGAGCTGATCATGTTCTTTCTCTACTTCAAATGCTGCTTCGTTGTGTCGTAAGTGTAGTTCTTCATTACATACTTCGAAAGATTGTCTTTGTGTAGTATTAAGCCTGAGGCAGTCCATAACCTCCCAGATGCTTGCCACAATGCGTGGCAGGTGTGAGTGGTGCCAATCGACACCAAGACAACTGTTGAACGACACGGATACTTAGCGACTCGGAGCAACGACATCACGAAATCGGCTTGGAGATGTTTTGAATAGATAGTTTTGGCAAAATAAAATCAAATATACACAAATTATATCCAAAGATAAAGTCATAACTTAGCCTCGGCATAATAACAGTGAGGGATAAGAAATTGCAAAACAAATCTAATTCTGTTGAACATATGTATGTCTCGCAAACTATGATATTTGACAGATAAACCATTGAAGGAAGTCGCCATCTTTCCGAAATAATGGTCACCCACCATCTGAGCTTGTCTTTGCGATGCCCGTTTGCAATGTCACCCGGTTGGCAATCAAGGGTTACAATGTCCTGCAATATCTTGACGTATAGTGTGGTCATTGCTCGCAGTTATATTATGTTGGAACATTCTCAAAGTTGTTTAGAGTCGCTATTGAGTGCAGTACGTTGTCCTGGCCTACACACTAGCCAGACCTTTTAAATTCAGTAAGAATTCTAAACATTCCTAGATCTACTAGTAGTACACTCATTCTCTGTCTGTTAAGGCGACTGATACGCATGATTGTGTCCGTGACCTGCTCCGTGTTCATATGTGTAATGAACACTGTCCGTCTCTCGGCACCACATTTCTTCATACACGCCATTGCTCACCGCGCTGATCAAGGCTCGCGCAAGTCACGACATCTAACTCATTTTTCAGGAATGTTTCAACTCGCCGTACGGCTTTGTTCACTTCCCCGCGTATGCCGAGAACATTAGCTACACTGCTGGCAAGGAGTATGATATTCAAGCGAGTGTAAGCGAAAGTGTCAAGATGCTATCTTCTGCTGCGAAGGAGGCGGGAATCTGGCTCATCGGAGGTCATACCTCACTCAAATGTGTGGCAAAGGGATAGAAAATTTATATTTTGTCTAACAGGTTCGATACCCGAGAGAGATGTGGAGACAAACGACATCTACAACACCTGCACTGTGTATTCTCCGACAGGTGTCAAGTTCCCTGAAACTCTTTCCAATCAACACTGATGTACGTGGATGGAGGTGCACTTGTTGCATCACATCGCAAGGTTCACCTATTTGACATCAATATCTGGGAAGATAAAATTCAAGGTATACCCTTTACTAGTTCTCGCTTTAGCGTCTTTTCTGGATCTCATCGTACCTACAGGAGAGCGAAACGTTGACAGGAGGAACAACGGCGAACTATTTTGACACTGGTGCGAACCTCATTCAACGTGCTTGCACCACACTCGATGAAACTCTCCTAAGAATTTGCACGTATTGGGCTCGGTTTGTGCTACGACGTCAGGTTCCCGGAACTGGCGATGATTGCGGCACGGCGAGGTTCGTGGTTACCTGATTTATACGAAAAACGAAAAACGCACAAACTCTTAAGGTTGTCACGCCATGGTTTATCCTGGGGCATTTAACCTCACCACTGGACCTTTGCATTGGGAACTGCTTCAACGAGCTCGGTAGCTAGATCCTGAACCATTCCACGAGGTAAGAGCTGGAATACCAGTCACAAAACAGCGTCGCTTTGATGTCTATCCCGACGTGAGCGCTTGATAAGGTATGGACAGCATAGGGCAACAAATGCTGGCGACGTAGCTATGTATTACTGGCACGCGAGACGCACGCGGGTGGACGCCGCGCTCCAAGTCATCATAAGATTATATATTGTGGGTATGCTGCGCACTTCAGTGTATTAATTATCAATTCTAAGAAAGTATTTAAGAAATAACGGGTCCAGGTGTACCCGTAGGGTCATTGTATGTTCAAAGTGCCTTCAAATGTTTGAGGTGTGTCCGGGTGGACGGTTCGATTTGCCGATTTGTCACACCGTGTCACACCGCCCTTTTTAGGGCGATGGACCCGCACAAGCACACGCACATCTCATCAATCACTATCTGCAGGAATGGGCCCTCGACTTCCTGTGAGTGAAAAGAGTTCTCATTAATCGTTCACTCACTCGGTTCCCAGAAAATAAATTGGTACATTAAGCTTGCGGTGGAGGTGGTAGTGAGTGGATTCTCACTGGCCGTGGCGCGAAGTGAAGGGCACCAAAAGTAAGTAGGTAATCTACTAGTGCTACAGGTTCTTACCTCCATAGTGCCGATCCACTCGGCAAGCCAGATCGCACGAGCCAGAATCGCGAGGCATTGTTGAAGGATCGAGAAGCAGTATTAAAGGATCGCGAGGGACTGTTGAAGAATCGCGAGGGGCTGTTGAAGGATAGATTGCGAGTCTTGAAGGATCGAGAAGGAGTCTTGAAGAATCGAGAGCAGGCCTTGAAGAATCGAGAGCGGATTTGAAGGAATCGAGAGGGAGCTTGCTATCTGAAAGTGCGCATTTGTTGCGTTAGGCGCATGTATATAATCGTAAGGGCACCGAGGGCCCATGCTTCGATCGAGCGGAATTCATACTTATGCGTAATACGAGCATGATTAAACAACTGAGACACATTCGCCTTAGGCGTTAGCGCGAGGGCGAGCTCGTGTGGCCTCTGCATGCTAAAGATACAATTAAGAACTTGTTAATGCACTCATGGACCAAATTGTGCAAACTTACAGCATCGCGAAAATCCCCCCCGGCTGAGTGACATGTGCCTCATCAATGAGAAAGCACGCGATTTGCTCGTCTTCATACAGTTGGGCTAGAATATCTTGCATGGCATTGCTCTCGCGTAGCTTTTCGGGAGTGATATAGCAAATGTCGGGTTTTTGCTGGTTTCGAAGGCGATGTATGACGTCCCGCGAGTCGTCTGCGGTCCTTAGGGAAGACGTGCAGTCAACATTAACGTGCTTCTTTTCTTCATACAGTGAGGCTAGAATATCTTGCATGGCATTGCTCTCGCGTAGCTTTTCGGGAGTGATATAGCAAATGTCGGGTTTTTGCTAGCTTCGAAGGCGACGCATGACGTCCCGCGAGTCGTCTACGGTCCTCAGGGAAGACGTGCAGTCAACATGAACGTGCTTCTTTTCTTCATACAGTTAGGCTAGAATATCTTGCATGGCATTGCTCTCGCGTAGCTTTTCGGGAGTGATATAGCAAATGTCGGGTTTTTGCTGGCTTCGAAGGTGACGCATGATGTCCCAAGAGTCGTCTACAGTCCTTAGAAAAGACATGCAGTCAACATTAACGTGCTTCTCTCGCAAAGATGCCACTTGATCGGCGATGAGTGGTTGAGCAGTCACCACTAACGCCTTCCTGTAGCTCATGGGGTTAGACAGGGTGGGGGTAGAGTAGAGTAGAGGACTTGAAGTATACGAACCGTTGCTTTCCAAGACTCGTCCCAAGAGTCGTCTACGGTCCTTAGGGAAGACATGCAGTCAACATTAACGTGCTTCTCTCGCAAAGATGCCACTTGATCGGTGATGAGTGGTTGAACAGTCACCACTAACGCCTTCCTGTAGCTCATGGGGTTAGACAGGGCGGGGGTAGAGTAGAGTAGAGTATAGTAGAGGACTTGAAGTATACGAACCGTTGCTTTCCAAGACTCGTCCCAAGAGTCGTCTACGGTCCTTAGGGAAGACATGCAGTCAACATTAACGTGCTTCTCTCGCAAAGATGCCACTTGATCAGCGATGAGTGGTTGAGCAGTCACCACTAACGCCTTCCTGTAGCTCATGGGGTTAGACAGGGTGGGGGTAGAGTAGAGTAGAGGACTTGAAGTATATGAACCGTTGCTTTCCAAGACTGGCACCAAGTGCAGCATTAAACTTGCATGGGCAAGCGATGTTGCGCAAATAATTATTGGTTCCGGCCCAGTCCACGCGGAAGGATTGAGAGTCTCACTCGGGTCGTTCTGGATAGTGTGATACATACGATCGGTGATGTCAGCTGCAGAGGTCTGATTGCATGTGAAGAATAAATGCTGAGCTGACAGCTGAGAAAAGACCAGACTAATGAACATCAGACGTGGTCGAAGTCAAAGGTGAATTCGATAGTTCCTTACGAATAGGAGACAAACATCCATGTCTTTATCGAGGCGACCGTCGTCATAGCAGTCTGCAATTTCGATGGATCTAGTCCAAAATGCAGAAGGCGTATATTCTTGCTGTCATCTTTGAGCTTCCATGCGCCAATTCGACGCAAGTCCTCGACGGAGCCTGTACCAATGGAGGATTCAGACAAGAAACAGTGCCTGAGAAGTCCTCCAGATCAGTTCCTAGATCGTTCGATATGGAAGCTTGCCTGGCCCACACGAATGTGGAAATGATAACATATATCCTAGGAGGCACAATAAGGAACAGTATTGCTGGGTTGTGCCTAAGCGTTGCACTAAAAGTGGGGGAGTAAAAATTGAAGGACCATGCTAAACCGATAGCAATGCGAACTACGGCACCTTCTGGTCGGTAATAGCGGGGCAAAAGCCGTGAACGCGGCCACCGCTCAGTCTCTTCAGGTCCCCATCCCCTTCCAGGCGCTTCAACGCAGGCTGGCGCTCGGCACAATTAGTTAATCGTGGAAGAAAGGTAGCAATTATTGCAACGGAGACAATCAGACTTCTTCGGTAAAGAGAAGCCGTTTTAAAAATGGAATTCGACGAAGTCCCTTGACAAATCAGCTTGATGAAATTACCTCCATGTGGCTTGTCCACGAACGCCATTTATGTAGGTCAACAACGAAGCGGCCCTCAGAGTATGTCGCCCACGGTATGATGTGACTGCTTCGGCTGCACACAAATGAGACCATCACATTCAGATAAGTGCTGGGTTCAACGATATAAGAACGCACCCGAAGTCGGAAAGCAATTGAGGATGTCTTGGCGCGAGTTATGCTAATTATCAGCTGGTAGATGGTTTCCGTGAGGCTTTGTCCGGTCTCCACATGTTCATCAAGGTCCGAGCCATTTGGCTCATATGAGTATGCGCCTCCTATACCAACCCCATAGTGAAAATGCATGAAGCAATCACGATCAACAAAGTTAGCACAGATCTAGAAATCGTCTATCTGACTCATGTCAATTATGTTTATCTCCTGCAAGAGGGGAAATCCCAGACATTGGCACCCGCCCAAGGCTTTCGCCTTAAAGTGACGAAACAGTTTGCCAAGTTCGGTGGTTTGACCTCTCGCTTTGCATCCCCCTTAGCACTCGCACCTGGTTTCGACTTAATCGTGTCCCATGGTGTGTTCTGCGATGACTGCCCATGTCCTACTATGAGCTAATGAAGACTTTTTACAGCTTCCAGTTGGACACCAAAGGTGAAGAATGCAATTGGGAGGCCTTGCAAAGATGTCTACAACGTTCCTTCGTCAGTTTATTGAATAGGCAATGATACATGGTCTTCACATACAGGGTGAGTATGCCATTCTATTTCTGCAGACTCAAATGGCTCCACTAGACAGAATCTTCGAACGCTAGGCTGCATTGTGCCATAGGCGCCAAGGAGGTAATACTGGTAACACAGTTCCTTCCATCCCTACACAGTCAGAATATAGTCACTGACTGCTATCTGCGCTTGTTATTTCCATTCGACCAAATGTGAACGTGATGTTGGCTCTAGATCTTATCCTCACCATCAAAATTTTAACCAACAAAGGGAGATGCGGTGCGAACCTGTTGGCCTACGCATATAATCAGCCTATCTGGAAAGCAGGCAATCTCTAACATCTTGCAGAGCTCTGAGCACATTGAAGTCATAAAGATTGAGAAACTACACACATTCGACCACAGATCGCCTGGAACGAACTTCATTTTGCAGGGACAACACGGTCCACCTGCCAGACTCGCCTGATGGGTGGCGATAACCAGCATGAGAAAAACAGGTACAAATACAAGAGAGAAAAAAAATTCGCTTAATAATAGACTACACGCGTAGGTAACTTGAACTCACCTTGTTCCGTTAGGAGAATAGGCAACTCAGTCCATACTTCTCCCTGATGATCATCGATATCAAACACAAGTTCCCATGTCTCTACATCCCAGATCTTTAGTGTGCCATCCTCTGATGCCAATGCGAGCCTTTTCTCGTCAGGTGAGAACTGTATCCAACTGACCCAGGATGTATGATGCGACAGACATCTGATGATCTCCTTCGTATCTGCGTGCCACTAATTATATGGCTTTTGGGACAGCAGGAACTCATTAGCGTAAAATGCAATGACTTTGTAATAGATAAAAGACATATTTGATGACTAAAGAATATTGATGTAATACACTGCAGGACTGTGCGAACAAAACACCATTCAAAACAGGCGGGAATTTTGGCTATCAATGAGCTGCCGACTACAAGCGCCTGTCAACATAATCGTGCTGCTAGAATGCAGGAAGGATGAACGGAAGTGTTACATGAAAGATTAAGGCGACAATCCAACAGGAATTTAAGAAAAAGACAGGGACTCCGTCTCATGAAGTTTGCATCACCGGTCTGAAGTCGTTTATGGAGCAGAATACGTCTACGAGTGACCTATAGGACTGAAAGCCTGCATTGTTTGGTAGGCTGCCAGCCTCGAATGGTTCGGTGGTATCAATGGGCCTGACGTCGTGCAGGGTTCTTGCAACCTTGGTCTTCCCGATCATTCTTGGCGCTTTCGTTTTTGGCTCGAAGTTGAGCACATTTTGATACCTGAATTTAGATCATGATGAGCAATACTAAGCAACATGTAAAGGACTGACTGTATGAAAGGCAGCCGCGTCACGGTCTGCGTAAACTCGGGAAACAAATACGGCTTTTCATACATGGGACAAAGCGCGGCCGTGATGACATCGGACATAACTTTGTGGTCCAGGTAGACAGCGAGTTCCTTTTTACGATCTTTACCCACGAGCCTCTTCAAAACAAGTAACATTGTCTGGTAGATCTGTGGTTTTGTTATATCACTCAAGAACGTACAAATGAGGAAAAGACTTACTAATGTCACCAAGTTGCATACGGTATCCTCCGCCAAACACTTAGTCGATGTGCAGATATCTTCGGGGAAAAAGTCCGCTACCCTCCCACTTCTTTTCCCGTCAGCCAACCCTTCCATTGGCATCAACAAGGATGTCCAGAGGAGCTCTGCAAAGAGCTGTTCGCCCACTAGTTCCGAAATGGCGGCCTGTACCTGAATGACGAAAGATATGTAAGAAGGTTCAAAGATCTCGTTTGTTACTTACATCGTGGCAATGTTCCGAATTCAAGAGCTTGAGAAAATGCGTGATTGCTTCTGCTCTACCAGACTCAGTGTCTTCACAAAAATTTGTGAAGAACGTCATGGCGCCCTTGATGACTTTTCTGTACTCAGATCTTGTGTGCTCGAACCACGCAAGCAACTACTCGAATGTATCAGGAGGAGGTGAAGGTAAGAAAGGAGGAAAGCGCACGTGTGTGCGGAGTATCTGCCATCCAATAGTGATGTCTTTTCCACCCTCATTGATGATTACTGAATCGAACTGTAAGATAAGGTCTCAAAGTATCAAACGATAGAGCACTCACTTGGCTGATCCCTGATCTCGTCGTAAGTTTTGCCTTCGAGTCGTAGGGCAGTTAGAAAATTACTGGTGATTGCACGCCGGTGATCCACCGCAGAGAGTTTGAATGGATTACCATAAAGTCCGACCCATAGACTACCGTCGAGAAGGGCCTTCGTGAGTGTCAAAACTCGGAACCAGCACGGCGACTTCCCCAACAAACGCGAAATTTGTGTCCTTTGCGATCCTGAATGTTCTCCCCAGAGATTGGTCGAATCTCTCCATTGTAACTCCGGATGGAGTCGTACATGATCGCCGGTGGGGGTTGGATTACCAGGGACAGCCTCGTACAGGCCCTCCGAAGCCTCGAATACCGTGATACTGTCAGAGAACACCGTTGACGACGTGGGCCAGAGAGTGCTGTAGCCGAAGGTGAACGCATGTGCAGCAGACGTGCTAGGGGAATTGGGAGTAGACAGTAAGAGAGAATCAAATGGGTTGATTACGTCGTTGAAAGGGGCAGAATGCGGGGGCTGGGACACCGAGTGAGTGTCACCGGTGACGGTGGGGCCAGCGGAGAGCGGCAACTCAAGCATCGAGGATGGTTCATCGGTGATGACGGATAGTTGCTGCCCGTATGAAAATGCATTGTCCTCGAGGACGGGAGGGGGAAATCCATGTGGAAATTGCGCCGGAGTGAAAGGAATAGACGCTTCAGATAGCTGGGATAACTGCCGAAGCAAGATAAGTCCATGGCAAGCTAGACTTTAATCAGAACAATACTTATGAACCACATAGGGCCGGGTTTATCCAAGATATTAGACCTACAGAAAGACGTCTTAACCAAAAAGGTAGAGTCGCCAACCTAAGTCTACTATTTCAAAACGAAATTTCCAGCACGAAAAAGACAAATTCCTGACCAGCTCTGCAAACAAGGGGTAATCATGGATGATGCCAACGTTGTCGGGGATACACAGCACTCCAAGGACGTTCAGTTTTCGAAGCCAAGGCCTTTCGACCTCGGATAGCCCATCACACTGCAAACCAACAATGAGAGGAAATATTTCGAAGGGGGAGTCTTACATATAGCGGTGATACTTCGCCATGGGCGGCCATGTATCCAATAAAATGAAATTGACGGTTTTTGAACGCTGAGAAAGGGTGCTGAAACACGATTAGATCCCGTTGATGTCTGATGGTAAATGCACACCTCCTCGTGCTAGAGGAAAGGTATCAGCAAGAGTCGACTCTAAGTAGCCTACTTACAGCAAGTTGTACCATCATGTAGACTTCGTCGGATTCGTGTACATATAAGTATGTTTGATGCATTTGAATGTCTGTGATAGAGTTAAGATGGTCCTACCTAGATAAGAGGGATTCACCTCACCGTCTGGGATTGACTAGAAAGAAAATTGCAGCGCAATAAATATCACGGGCAGCTATTCATTAGTCAAGTGCTGGTTCGTAAATTAACGAGGGTCACTTGGGCTCAGTACTACTTAGCGATGAACCAGCGCTTGACGAGGCTAAAAGTTAGAGGTGCTCGGGGGCCAGTGATGGCTAAGAGATATTGATGGCCAGGGATTACAGATCGCACGATGGCCAGGATATGTAGCGGTGATGGCCAGGATCTATGGCCATGATGGCTAGTATTTGACGACACTGGGACTGACAACGAGATGACTAGGAAATAGTTTGGGTTTGCGCCCATCTAAACTGATGTAATAGAAGTTCAGTTTTCATAATCAAACGCGTGGTGGAAATACATCTCCTCTAGTGCCTCTATGAGCGTCTCGGTGCTTCCATTACGTCGCTGCTCGAAGAGGATAGATTCTTCGACACCAACGTGATCTTCGCCCTCTTCGTTTTCATCGTCGGCTGCATGTTGCAAATGGGTGGTTTCCGTGAGGCTTTGTTCGGTTCCTATGTATTCAATATCTTCGGTTTGAGCTGCAGGGTATAGTGCCGAGCCGAGATTTTTCAAGATTCCAGGCCTATGGGAATATGTGTGTCCTACACCAAGCCCATAGTGAAAACGCATGAGTAAATCACGATCAGCAAAGCTAGTACAGTCGTGATATCAGTAAGTATCGCTAAGATAAATCAAGCCGTCTACCTATTGACATAATACTCATACCAATCATGTTTATCTCCTGCAAGAGGAGAAATCCCGTCGTTCGGATTGCGCTGGCCTCGAGAGAATGCCGGAATAATGT